TAGTAGCAGAGGATCACCAAATCCTCCAGGCAGTAACCTAGGTATGTTAACAGTAAAAGAGGAAAAGAAATTGGTAAATTATAATGTGATGCTGTCCTTGGTCCTTAAGAATAGGTCAAGTTGCCTCTTGAAGGACTCCTGAGAAGTCGCTTGGACTAGCTCGGCCGGCAGCGAGTTCCAGCTTTTGACAACTCTTAAGGAGTAGAAGTTGTGTCTACATTCCGTCTTGCTATGTTGTGTTTCCAGTTTCTGGGTGTTACCCCTTAGGTTATTATTCGAACTAAGCTTAAGTAGGTGTTTAAGAGGATGTCCAGAAGTGTTAAGAATACTATAAGCCATTAATAAATCACCTCTAAGACGCCTATATTCTAGTGGGTAAAGGTCTAGTGAACGGAGGCGTTCTTCGTAAGGCTTAGATTTGAGTCCTCGAACTGATTTCGTGGCTCGCCGTTGGATACGCTCCAAAGTGACCTTGTCCTTTTGGAGTGAGGGGGGGAGTACTATGTTTCCGTACTCTAAATGGGGACGGATGAAACTATTGAAGATTGTGTGGAAAGTTCTTCCGTCAAACTGGCCAAAAATGCGCCTCAACGTTACCAGTGCAAGGTTTGCTCGGAAGGCATTTTTGTCACAGTTAGCGTAAGACTTCAAGTCATGGGGCACCAGAACTCCTAAATCTTTTTCGACTTGGGATACTACTAGAGAGGAGTTTCCTAAGTTGTAACTGTAGCTTGCGACATGTCGCAGATGGACTACTTTACACTTTGAAGTGTTAAAGGTAAGTCCGTTATCGTCTGCCCAACTTTGAAGTCGAGTCAGATCCTCTTGAAGTGCCTGTATATCGTCTTGGTTGCGTATCTCTCTCCAAAGTTTCACGTCGTCGGCAAAAAGTAATAAGTCTGACGTTACCTGTTGAGGAAGATCATTTATGTAGATCAAGAAGAGAAGAGGCCCTAGTACTGAGCTCTGGGGGACCCCACTAGGACATTCCATAGCTTGAGATAAAGTGAAATTAACCCTAACCTTGAAGTGTCGATTTTTTAGGTATGAAGTAAGCCAGTCGATTAGAGGTGGTTTGACACCTAGTCGTTTGAGCTTGTTGATAAGACACAAGTGGTTAACCTTATCAAAAGCTTTTGAGAAATCAAGGTAAATGACATCAACCTTTCCCTTGCGATCGAGGATGCTTGTCCATCTGTCCACCGCAGTCAGCAGGTTGGTTATACAAGAGTAACCCTTCCTGAAACCATGCTGTTGGGGTGAGAAGAAATTTAAGGACAGTAGATAGTCATTTAAACCGTCGCATATCAGGGACTCCATGAGTTTTGAAGGTAACGACAGAAGAGCTACCGGCCGATAACTTGAAGGTTCATTGCGTCGACCACCTTTGAAAATTGGTGTGATGTGAGCCAACTTCCAGTTTTCCGGTAATTTGCCTCGGCTAAGCGAGTGTGAAAACATCACGCTAAGCGGCGTTGCCAGGATTGAGGATGCCTCCCTCAGTATGGCAGGATGAACCATATCCGGGCCAGGAGAAGTGTCAAGTCTTAAGTGCTGCAGTTTCCGGAACACCAAGTCAGCGCTTAGGTCCACTTCAGAAAGTCCTGTGGAATTGCAGATGAAACTGTCGTCAATAAAGTTGATGTCAGCCGGTTGAAATGTTTGAGAGTAATGGGCCGCCAGAAGGTTAGCGGCGTCGCCATCGTTGTTGGTCGGGCCGTTAAGACCTAGCAGTTGAGAAACTCCTGTTTTGGCTTGACGAAGTGAGGCTGCATAACGGAATAGGCTTCTAGGGTTAGAGGCGAATTTGTCCATAAGCTTTGTTTGGTACTGAAGCCTGTCTTCTCTTATAGCCTTCGTGCATGTGTTCCTGATATGTGTGTATTGCCTATACGCTCCATCGTTATTAGTTCGTTTGTATTCCGCCCAACAGTGCCGTTTGCGGCTTAGGAGGCGAAGGGTACGGTTCTTGATAACTGTAGGTGGCTTGAAGCTTTTGGGAACCGTTTGAGGAACTGAATGGTCTGTAGCACATAAGAGCGTGTGCAGTAAGAAGTCCCAATGACCATCCACATGGATTTGAGGGTGAACATCCCAGACCACCTGTTGTAGATGGTCATGTAGAGCTGGCACATTCAGCCGTTTAAAATTCCAACGCAAATTATTGTTGGGATACCTTAGCTTAGTTTAGATGACAAAACTGAAGGCTATGACGGCATGATCGCTTTTTCCCAGAGGAGCCAGGATTGAGAGGTTGTCGACTAGGAATTCTTCGTTAGTGAATACACAGTCTAAGCGCGATGGTGTCTGACTGTTTCTCCAACGAGTTGCCGACCTCACATTTTCATATATGCCCAAGTTATCGATGAGGTTGAAGAACCGAGCTTCAGTTGAGTTGTCGCCTCCAGTATACGTGTGTTCCGCGAAGTTGACTCTAGGGAGATTAAAGTCCCCTAGAATCAGGATGTGTGTGAAACCGAGACGGATAGAGCGGGATAGTCCTTCCAGCATACGACTATCGTACTCGGTGTCGGCAGTTGGCTTCCTGTAAATGACTCCGACTAGACACCTGGAAGTACTAGACAACCTTACAGAGCACCATATGGATTCCTCAAGATTGTTAAACTCGAGGTTGTGAACCTGGTGCACCTCCAAGCAAGAGCTTATGTATATGGCTACTCCGCCCCCAATTCCTATTTTTATGTCGTTGCGGAACAAAGTCATCCCAGGTAATGCTAACTCTTGATCCGAGAACTGAGAAGATATCCAGGTTTCAGATATTCCTATCAGATGGGCCTTGTTAGCGTTGCTAAGTTCACGTAGTTCATCCAGTTTGTTTGGTAAACTCGCGGCGTTCATATATAAGCAGTTTATGCTTTCAATTTGGAACGCGTGAGCTTCGTCCTGTTTTTCTGTATGAACCTTATGTGAATGGACAGGTAGCCCACCTATATGAGGTTTGCCGAGGTGGTAGGCCCTGTCCTTTACACGTTTTTTTAATCGTTTAGACAGTCCACAAGTGGAATGGTCAGCTCCAACTTGCCTTTGTTCTTGGTCCTGACTTCGTATGGCCTATCCGGGTGCATGTGGATTCCAGGTGGCAATCGACGTCTATTAGCACGAAATGCTTCCAGAACTGCAACCGCCATGTGGGAAGATGGGAAGGTTATCTTCATCAGACGGGGTCTAAGATCACCGTCCTTCTTGGCTAGTCTCGTCACATGCTGAGTCAGTATGTGTTTGAGCCTCAAGGACTGTTTGATGAATTTCCATTCCCTGATGTCAGAATTTGATTGAGTAGGGTCTGCATTTTCCGGTATACCTTGGACAATTATATTTCTTCCACGGAAAAACTTCTCGCGAGATTATTCATGATCAAAGAGATGAGAATTTCTGAATTTCCGCATAAAGCATGACTGGAGTGTTTTCAACTAGGACCACATCATTTGAGAGGTTTCTTTAATTTCATCCCAATTATATATTAAATATCGGATATCGGTGTAAGCGCTATTTTCAAAAGGTTCTGTTACAGGCGTTACGTACGTATTGTGTATCAACTCTCATGTGTGTTGCTTTATGTGATTGGCATACTCCTGAATAGATCTCCTGAGACGACACCTATTACTTTGACTCGCGATTCAAGATCTTGTCATTTATTACTTTGATTGCATTCTAATCTACATTAGCTATGTGTTAGTTAATCACTACTATCAGTTCCAGCTACCAAAATATTAGCTATCGTTTAACTTTCTTATATCCGGTTTGTTTGAATTATCATGAACTCTCAATCAATAAGTAAACCCGAAGAAATTGACCCTTAGTCTTCGTTTTTCTGTTACTTCAGGTGACACTACAAGGTTCACACTTCTGTAATCGTGTAAAAACGAATCTACCCCAAAAATTTCAATTGGATGGTTTAGTAGGTTTACTAGCTCTTATTAAAATAGTCTTGTTGAGAACCCAGTACACAAATCTGTATTTGTCAGCTATGTTGCATTGAATTACGATTAGTCACTGAAGTACGATGCGTCTATGCATTATTCACGGGGCAGATTACGTGTTAGTTAGTCACTGAAACCAATATTATTATATATGCTTGATGTTTACATTATCCTAAAAGGGATGTGGATTCCCGGCTAATAAACGTGATATTCTTCCTGATCCAGCCTTTCTGTATTCAAATCGACCCGGCCATTAAAGTTGTGTGTATGTTCTCAGCTTTCTAGTGACCGTTTGAAAACCTCGAAATCGAAAATTCACACTAGTGAAATTTCCGAGGTACACTAATAATAGTACTTAACTTAAGTAGTGAAAAGAAAAAGGTGATTATTTATCAGTTTCAAATCATTTACTGGTTCTGTATGGTGTGCTATGTAGTCACCGTTTGATAATCCTGTGTGAAAGCCAAGAATCCTGACCGTTTAGGTGTAGTGGGACAACTCGCTTCCACCAATTATGGCCCAAATAATGTGATTATACTCGATTGGAAAAATAAAGTTAATGCTGTGCGAAATAGGGTCATTTCTGGCAAGTCTCAGAAAAATAATTTTGGGCGACAATGTCATACTTCAATGAACATTTAGCTTCACTAATATATGTAGTAGTAAACCAATAAAAATAATTTTATGCACGGTACTGATCACATATATTACACCCAAGGTCGTTTCAAGCTAGTGCTTTTGAAAGGCCATCAGATATTACCTTGACGCCTACAGAAACTAATTGGCGACATATTCTACATACTACTATGATCATTTGAACATGCAATCTATCAACTGGTCAAATTGTTAATAATTTGTTACAGATTTTACATTTTCCGGGGTAAAGCTCAAACGAATCAATTTGGAGTCCATAAAAAGTCTTTTACCTAAAATACTGAACTCCATCAATACATAAATAATAAAAAAGAATTCAGTTGTGCCTGAAAGTCGTTTACAACCGTAATAAATTTTCTGCAAAGAATATCATCAACAATCCGCCTGTTTAAACAAGTGTTGGCAATGACACCGTGTATTTCGTTTAATGAAAGCAGCGTTTTCAGCTTTCTGTCTAAAAAATGGGCTTTCGATTTCAGCTCGAAGTATGTATATGTATATATATATTGACGAATAATTTCATATTCAGAACACGTATTACTGCTCCAAACCAAATCAATACTCCCGAACTGAAGCATCCTCCAGGATATGTTGATCGTTCTTTCCCAGCCACTGCCGTCCGTGACTCGGACCCACATCTGATGCGTCAGCGAAGTTGGAACATTGCATTGGGACCGTTCCGGCAAGTTCCAATGAATCTGTTCATCATGTGGATTTCAGGCAGTTCAATATCGATATTTCCCCTGATGTCTGTAATTATGTTATTTTTACGCCCATTACAAGCTCTTTTGTCTGCACAAGCTAGTAAGGTTTCCATCACAGTTTCTTAATCATATTTTTGATACAATCTTAGTAGTTTATTTGATGAGTAGCAAAGAAAGAACTTGTGATACCGTTTGTTTTATAAAATTTCGAACTTAAGCGATGCGTATCTTCCATTACTTGAAGATACGATCAATAAAATAACTATGATCATATCTAGTCCCTAAAAATACCACCTTAGACCATAGCAAGCGGAACCCTTGTATTTGAATGCATATTTTAACCATATTCTGAGTACGCAAAAAACGTTTTCAAGCCATATAAGGTTCTTGTAGCTTAGTGATCAACAAACTCGGATTTCATCTAATTGGTCACAGGTTCAAAACCCGTCCTACTCTATTATTTAACCAATGATTATCATTACAGGTTAATTTATTATACGGAATTTCCTAATTCTGTTGACATATTCAGAGTGGTACATTGTGACGTAATTCACTTGGCAAATACAGGTTTGTGCATCACTAAAAAAAAACTATTTAAATGGGCGTGATACTACCCGGTCGTTAACCTGTAATGAAACAGTATCCGAACTTGTAACCTGCTGGCTGAAATTTGAGAGGTTCGACCAATAAACTGCTTCACCAACAGAACGCTTTTATCTATGGCTGTAAGTATATGAAAGAAAAATATCCTCAACAATTTCTCATCAGCCTCTACAGTTATACATTAAAATCAATGTTTTGAAGAAGAATGGTGAAGATTCACAACCTCACTACTTCATCAATTGATTTGCCATCCTTACCTAGTACCCGATCCCTAACAACTGTGTTACTTACTCGATGGTCCCAGGATATACGAGCAATGTTTCGAAAACACCTATGATCGAATACTAGTAACCTACAAAATCCTCTACTGTTACCGGCCATGTTTCACTGCCATAAAGAAGGACGAGACGAACTGCTGCGCAGTAAACCCGTCCTTTGGTTGATAGACGGATATCTCGCCTACGCCATAAATGACGCAAGTTGGCAAAAGCTAGTCGAGCCTTCTGTATCCGTGCTAAGATTTCGTGACACACCAAACCACAAGGGCTGATGAGACTTCCAAGATAAGTGAAGCGGTCGACACGCCCAAATATTTCACTCCCTATCACTAGTTTGGGTGTGGATGTAACCCAATCCTGAAGCATTATTTTGCATTTCGAGGGGGAGAATCGCATCCCGAACATGCTTGTATTGTTGCTTAGAGTGGTCAGAAGACTGCATTTTGTCAGCGTGCTTCACCAAATAAAACTATGTCATCGGCATATTCCAAGTCAACAAGTGAATCTCCTGGCAGAAGTTCAACCCCTGGAAATTTAGATGAGGAAAGTGTTATCTCTAAAAGTGCGTCAATGACAAAGTTAAACAAGAATGGAGAGAGTGGATAGCCCTGACGAACACCACTTGAGGTAATCAATTCTAATGACAGTTTGCCATAAGCTCTCACTCTACCAGTTGTGTTTGAGTAGAGAGCCTTTATAAGGTTAATGTACTTCTTTGGTACTCCTTTCAGCGACAAACACTGCCATAGAACCTCACGATCAACAGAGTCGAATGCCGCCTTAAGGTCGAGAAATATTACGATTGTGGGGCGTCTGAATGTGTGTCTGTGTTCTAGAACCTGACGTAGTGTGAATATCTGATCTACACAACCACGTCCAGGTCGAAAACCGGCCTGGTTTTCTCTGATCTGCTCTTCACGAGCTTTAGTTAGGCGTCGAACTATTATTGAAGCGAATATTTTAGACACTATATTAGTCAAACTGATTCCTCTGTGATTGTCACAAGAGGACTTTTGTCCTTTCTTATAGACTGGCACAATCAGTGATTGAGACCAGTCAGATGGGATTACGTCCAGTTCCCAAATTCTACCTAAGACCACAGTCAATCTCATTGCTAATACTGGACCACCATCTTTAAAAATCTCAGGAGTAAACCAGTCAGGGCCTGCTGCTCTCCATCGTTTCAGATTTCCTATGGCTTTTTCAACTTCGTAAAGGGACGGAGGACCTACATTAACTTGCCATTCAGGTTGACTAGAGATCGTGGGAAACCGAAGTGTGGCTGAAGGCCAGTTGAACTGATCCATAAAGTGTTCTGCCCATCGATCCAGTCTCCTGGATTGAGAATGAATAATATGTCCATCTTTCTCTGAGATTGTTTCGCTAACGGTCGGGTTCCTAATTCCGGTTTCCTTAACGAGTCTGAACAATTGTCTGCTATTACCTATTGCCGCTGCCTTTTCCATCTCTCTTGCTTTCGCTACCCACCACTGTTTACGATCATTGCATAGACTTCTTGTCAGCTTGCGCTTATGCTGATTCCGCTCTTCATTATGTTCAAAGCCAGGTGGAATGAGTTTCCGAGCATCTATCAGTGAGATAGATGCTGCTGAGATCCAGTGTTGCTCCCTAACCTTCTGGTTTACCTTACTAGCAGATATCACTGCTGTTTCCACAGCTTTTCTGATATCATTCCATGCTGCATCGGGGTGGGCATCACATACATGGCTGCCTAACGTTTTTCCTAGTTGTTCCTGGAATATACTCTTAGCTTGACTATCATTAAGTAGGCCCCTAAGAGGTTTCCTTGCAGCGTCTTTCCTACGTCCAGTAAGACGCCAGCAAATACGCGCTCGCACTAGAGCATGATCTGAATCTAGGCATGTGCTCCAGAATGAGCGACAGTCTTCTATCGAGCCCCTCCATCGGTGGCTGATAGCGATGTGATCTATTTGGGTCCAACGTTGGGACGAATTAGGGGGTCGCCATGTTAAAAGATGTTTTTCCTTATGCTTAAAGTTAGTATTTGCAAGGAACAGGCGGTTATCTGAGCATAGGTGCAACAGACGGTCGCCATTATCTGTTCTTTGAGCCACGATGCTATAAGATCCGCCCTGGTGTCTTTCCCTTTCGCTTAGTTTGCCTACTTGAGCATTAAAGTCACCGGCCACTATTACTACATCCGAGCGCTTAGCTTTTCGGAGGTCCGAAGGCTTTCTGTAAAACTCATCTTTTACATCATCTGAGCTGCAGTCAGTGGGAGAATAGGCAGAGACGACGAAGAGGCAACGACGAGTGTCCCTATCTTTCCGGATTCTTACTGTTCAGTCGGACAGCGCACAAACGACTGTCTACTGGGATCCACTCTAAGAGAGCTAGTTCTGCCCTAGGACTCAATGCTATACCTACGACGGCGAGGCCACGAGAAGCAGCATCTGGCCTTCCAGATACACGAAGCGTAAATCGAGTCGGTTCTTTATTTTGGCATGGTGAGGTCAAATGAATGACGCAACTTGGATCCTGTGCGCGCGTTTCAGAGACGCAGCACACATCGATCGCGCGAGATTCTAAAGTCCTAGCTAAGGAAGCCTGCTGTCCTATTTGGCAAAGTGTTCGTACGTTAAAGGCTCCTACGTGTAGTTTAGAGCGTGGTTTCAGGAGACCAGGAATAACGTTCCGCGTACTCAAATCGTTTGCCCTAGCGTGGCGAGGTGATAAAGAGACGTGAGGAGGGTTAGTCGGGGATATAAGAGAGGTATTAGGACGTGTAGGAAGGATTTGAATGTGACCAACTTGGTCTCACGTGTTGTTACGGGTATGAGGGCTGATGTCACTTCCCGGCTGCCCACACCGTGGAAGGGTATTTCTTGAGGAACCTGAAAAGGAAATTGGATTAGTGTTGGTCTTAACGACCTGGGAGCGTGACCGCAGAGCCCAAGGGACAACTGCTTGAGGCCGGTCGCGCACGGCCTTTTTGTGGAAGGTTTTTGACGTGTTAGCTCCGTTCATCAAAGGGCCTTACCGCCGGAGACGGAGATCCGTGAGGTAAGGTGATCCCAGCAGATGCTGACAATATTTATAAGGCATCTGTGATCAAACACTAGTAACCTACAAGTATCTTCTACTCTTGATGATCACGTTTCACAGCCATAAACTAAAACAGAACGAAATGCTGAGCAGCATACTCGTGCCTTAATTGATAGACGGATATATCGCCTAAGCCGTAGGTGACGTAAGTTGGCAAAAGCCAAACGAGCTTTTCGAATCCGTATTGAGATTTCGTCAGACACCAACCCATTGGGGCTGATTAGACTTCCAAGATAAGTGAAGTTGTCAACGCGTTCGACTACTTCACTCCCTATCCTTAGTTCAGGTGTTGACGCAGACCAGTCCTGAAGAAACGACTTGCATTTAGAGGGAGAGGAACGCATCCCAGATATCCTGGCATTGCTACTCAGTGCTACCGAAATATGGCATTTTATCAACGTCTTCATCGAACAAGACTATCATCTGCGTATTCTAAGTCGATGAGTGGACCTCGTATTAGGAGATTAATCCCCGAAAATTCAGTCGACGAGAAAGTTATTTCCGGCAGGAAGTTTATGGTGGGATTGAACAAAAATCAAGATTATGGACAGCCTTGCCGGTTACCACTTGGAGGTGCAAAATCAGATGACAGTTCGCCATAATCTCTGACTAGACTGGTGGTGTTTGTATGAAGAGCCCCCAGTAGGTTTATGTACTCCTGAGGTACACCTTCAATGACAGACATTGCCACAGAACCTCTCGGTCTACAGAGTCAAATGCTGCGTCTTAGACAAGTAAGGTCATCATTGTCGGACGCCTGTGTTCTAGAAGTTGACGAGTGGTGAATATGTGGTAAATGGAGTAGCAATGGGATCCCTTTGTTCCTAATTGTAGCCAACTTGTTTATGTTACATATAGAATCAAGTATTTTCGCCCGTGACATGAAACCACGAATTCTGTTCAGATATGTAGATGTACAAACATGCTTCAAATAAATCACCTTGACTGGAATAATATTTCATTGAATTGTCCAGACATGTTTTTGATTTATCGCACCAAATATTTTTGCTTTGTACTTTTTGAACGGGTTAACGTGTTTATTTATTCTCTGAAGAGGTGGCTTGCACTAAGTCACGAAACGTCAGAAAATTTAGACTTGATTTTTCTACTCATTCGGACATAACAAATATATTTTTTCTTACTTATTAACCTCCCAGCATGATTTATCAAGGGGGTACTTAAAGCAGTCAGTATACCTATCCTGTGTAATTTAGTTCAAAAGTGTTACGCAGTTAGCACCACTCAATAACTTACCATGTCGATGGCAATCCATCTAGATTTATCAAAATCAGTCCTCCAAACTATGGAAACAACAGCTACTTGGGTTAAAAAACTGAAACTTCGCGTCCGAAAAATGTCCAACCTTTTCCTACACCTTGACCAAAGCAGATCCAAGAAGTCAGTAATCGACATAATTACAGATTCACCTTTATTGCTTAGTATATATGATAGTCTTTTAAACACAATTTGATCAACACTGTACTATTTCTTATGCAACTCATCTAACTCTGTACATTACGTTATTTCCAACGAAGTATTTGTATGAGATCATGAACCGTTTAATGTTAGACCACTATTGAAAACCTGGAAGCACTGGACGGCCGTTTTGTCATATTGCGGGACTCCTCAGCAGTGCGCATTCACGACCCCGCTCGCGCGATTCGAACCTAGGGCCTTCAGTCTCGCGCGCGTACGCTTAACCTACTGGACCGCTGAGCCGGCATCCAATGGTGTTAATGGTTCATAATCTCAATGAAAACTTAACAATCTTCACAACCCCTATACTGAAACATTTGTAATTATACCACTGTTTACATCACTCAATGTTATCTAAATTCATTCTGATTGTTGACCTCATAATTTCACTTGACCTATAAACTGATTGAAGTTGACATCACACGCTAGTCATTTCTTTTTAAACGAAGTTATTTTATTTTACTAACAATCTTAAATTTAATCATTTCTTCAGAACATTGATTTTAATGTATAACTGTAGAGGTTGATGATTTGTTGGAAAAAGTACTCTTCATCCATGTTTCTCTGTTTGCAATTTGACTAAAATTTGTAAATGGTACGTAAATATGTATATAACTAAGTTCTAAGTGCACAAATAAAGCTGAAATAATTGAATTTTTTGTCGAGGTGGATATTATTGAGTTACCGAACCCAAAATGGTTTTATTACGGAGCTTGCATTTTTGTTCTGTACATCACCAGCTGCTACTTGATGGATTCAAAATGAAGTCAATGTTGATACTGTCCAGTACAAAAACTAAGGCTCCGCAATATATATTACTCTACGCAAAAAATATAAGCGCTCATATAAAATAGTCTGTAAACTTCCCTAGTGGATATTTTCAAGAAGTGAGCTTTATAATATCCTATTCGTATTGTGTGTATCGTGAAACAGTAAGAGCAAAGTATCAATGACATTTTAGAGTGACTGGCTATTGCATGCTTTCGTATAGGGCAATTTCCCCTTAAGCATTTACATTTGACCACTTGCAATATTGAGAAGAAGGTGGATTCATTGTGAGTGTGAAGGCCTGTAAGTAGCTTGTATGTGTTGATAATCAGACAGAGATGTAGGTCACTTACATCTTCGTTATGTGAGGAAACCGGTTAAAATACCATCAAGCAATTCAGAGCTTTACTTACAGTCGGCGATATCAGCTACCCTTTATTTACAAACGCTCACACTAGGGTTTTGATGGTCTCAAAATAACCCTATTAACAACCTAAATCTGGTATGTCTGTTCAGGGATTTAAATATATAGTCTCTACATGCAACACTTCGATTAATTGGATGAAGATAAAATATATCAGCAGGTTTTCAGTACTGTGAAATATGCAATTATACTCGTGATAGATCAGTCATTCACTAATGTTTACTCATTAACTTTAAGGTTAAATTTTAATAATATAATTTCCGAAGACAACTGTTTCACCTAATTAACATCAGGTTTTGATTTAAAGTTTACAAAAACCATAATACCCTAAATTTTCATAATGCTAGACAGATTATATCCATTGGGGTAAATTTGGAAGTAGTTTTGTAGTGATAACTTTGATCCAGAAAGGCAGTCAATTAACTTAGGTCTACTGGATGTATGTTTATCCCTTACTAAGGTTTATCAACAGTTGTAAACTTGAGTAATTCGAGATTTTCTTGATTTTTTCTGTACAGCATTTAACCTTATAGAGGGAAGTCAAGCTACAATACAATGCTTTGTGTATGTACTTGGCAACCTAGTTATACTAGCACTAGCCATGTACAAGTGCCACACTATGGGTTTACTACCGACTTACGCATCTGATTGGCTTTCATTTATAGAACCACGTCAAGTAAGTAAATAGTATCTACTGTGAGTACGTACTTTATTCAGTTCATTTATGTAAACCCAAACAAATGCTGACGTGAAGAGAGGTAGATTAGTGCTTTGAACTTTTAACCAACAAGTTATGAGAGAATCGTCCTGAAACTTCCTCTTGGATAGTTTAGTAGGTTTACTAGCTCTTATTAAAATAGTCTTGTTGAGAACCCAGTACACAAATCTGTATTTGTCAGCTATGTTGCATTGAATTACGATTAGTCACTGAAGTACGATGCGTCTATGCATTATTCACGGGGCAGATTACGTGTTAGTTAGTCACTGAAACCAATATTATTATATATGCTTGATGTTTACATTATCCTAAAAGGGATGTGGATTCCCGGCTAATAAACGTGATATTCTTCCTGATCCAGCCTTTCTGTATTCAAATCGACCCGGCCATTAAAGTTGTGTGTATGTTTTTAGCTTTCTGGCTTGTTGAAATTACTATTGGAAATTTGACTGTAGAAATGGTATCGAAGTAAAGAAATTTCTCGCAGTTATGTTCCTCGAGCTGCTTTTGGTTTTTGTTTTGTGTAGGACAATATTTACTGTGAGGATTTGTGTAGCATGAAGAAAACATAACGTAAACGGATTGTTATCCAAGTCTCCACAATACTCATCTAAGGTTTTCTATGACGTCACATATTAAAGCGTTTGACCAGCAAGAGGTCGTACCTGGGGTTGATCGCTGAAAGCAACTAGGAAGTTAATGTGACTGAGTACTTAAACAAGTGCTAGTGTGGCAATTATATGCTTATTTGCCCATACTACAGTATTCTAATCTTCTAATTATAATACGTATTTGAAGGAATGGACTTGTGAAATTCTACTGGAGTAATTATGTATTTAGCTCAAAAGTATACAATTTTTGTTGGGTGTACATACATACGCATTGTAGGCCTATTGCCTTGTTCATACATGTTAAAGTACATTTGTAGTGTATATTTAATAAAAGTTTTTTTCTTTAATAGGCAGCTGAGTGGTCGGTTGGAGGTTTTGTCGTTTGAATATAGGACGAAACACCGTATAAGATTTCTAACCGTAATTCGAAAAATAAAATGTTCAGTTTATAATGACTGTTTTTGTTTGACAAGAATCAGAGGTTAAACGAGGCGTCTTTTATGGAATTGTATTAAATTAGCCATTAGAATAGTAGATGAAGCTTCAATAAGTATATTAAATGGTTAGTTTTAAAACTGACTCATACAGAAGATGTGTCGTTGATTCAAAATATTACCACGTACAGAGTAAATACATCCGTAATGTCCATCAAAGTGAGTTCATAAGTTGAGAAGCCCAATCACGCAAAGCTTGAACGCCATCATTCGAAAATGATTGTAAGAGCTGACGAATTGAATCCTTGCAAAGGTTCATGAAACCTTAAAACCAAAAAACGGTGAAATATGCACTTAAAAAACTATTGTTGAGCCAGTTATTTGTTTTGGAAAGATGAATAAATATATGTTAAATCAAGTCTTGAAACATGGTTTGAATGCTCATGATCGAGAAACTCAAAATAACCGTCAAAAAGATTGCTTACTTGGATGTCTTAGAATTCCTGCGACTGTCCTCAGAGCATGTTCTCTGAGTAACTGGGATTTTTGGTTTTCAGCTGATTTTTTTAGTTTGCCAATGAACTCTTTTAATCCTAACTCTGAGAAACACCTTGAAGCTGATTTGCCGGCACAATCGACTATATGCGCACTTTGTTCTGGACTCAGCCTATCATTAAATTATAAAATTCATAAAAAGGATAATTGTTTAGTTGCATTTTGAAAAATAGATTGTAATAGTTTGGTAAACAATGAAAATGCTTACTTCGCAAGTATTGTTAATGCACTTGCCAAGCAAGAGATTTGAACATGTTTCCCAGTTTGGGTCATAACATTGTTCAATAGGATTATTGTTTCAGCGAAACGATGCACTGAAATGATATACAATTAAAAAGGAGAAATTGAATAAATTGTTATTTGAAATAACAAGGAAAATTGGAATGACTTATCCTGTAGAAACACTTCATGATTTAATGAAAGTTATAGCTGATGTGGGAAAAAACTAGCAAATTTAAAAAGTGTATGAATAGTATCACATATTGGATCGCCCCCAGAATGAAAGTGTTATGGTCTGCTAATCCATTTGGATTTTACCGCGAGGGTTCGAACCCCCATCGCCAGTTGTTATTATCTACCGCAAACAACTTGAGCACTCGAACGCTTGAACCCTCCAACTCGCAAATAAGTAGACTGGAGAAAGTGTATGTTGGGCAAGAATCAAAATGTACAGAAAGTCATAGATATTAGAGTTTGTTAAATCTATATAATGATTCAACCAATATCCGCAGAGCATGTTATGCTATTGACCAGTAGTAGCACGCCATGTTGATATTCTAGAAACCCCCATTGCGTTCTGATTGGATGAAACTTCTCGGCTCTGTCGTAGTTCTCGAGAGCCATCCCAACAGAAAGACCATCAGAAGGATTCGTTAAGACGTAAGAATATAAGATTTTAATGTTAAAATGCTCAAGCTTATTATTATTATTATCGTTATTATTATTAATAATGGCTTTATTCAATATTATATATATACTATAAAATAAATTTAAAATTGCCCAGAAATTACAAAATATGACTGGGTAGAATCACATTTAAAAATAAGATCAAGAACCCTTTGTTACATGACGTATATTGATCTCTTTGTGGTAATACACAGTGAGAAGCTGAATTTCGAAATTTCATAAATATACTCATCAAATTATCCCTCTTTTCACGTCGTTTAGTGTTCAACAAATTGACAAAAAAATCGCAAATTACACGTGATAAGAATGTGTTGTTACTTTGATCATACAAAGGTAAGGAAAGAGGGGAAGTTTCTCAGTTTGGATAAATCATTTCATACTCGTTATTAAGCGTGAGTTCCCACTCATTAATTCATTAGCAAAGTGGGTATCTGACAAAACAGAACGTTTTGTTTCCACTATATACATACTGGGTGACTTACAATGTTCTTTCGTAGCGTTAAGCGGCCATATAATCCCGACAGCTCTGACAGCCTGTTCAAGTTCGAACTCATTGAGTTTGGTGTTAAGTTTCAAATTCTTAAAAAAAAAGAAAGTTATTCTGTTAATTTCAATAATGAAGATGCCCAACAATATGTTCGATTATTAGAGTAAATAAAGACGAAATAGATGTACACTACGTACAGGTATCGCGACATCTATCCATATGAGACTTCTAACAAAAAACTGGCAAAATTGATCTACAATATGTCTATTTTTCGATTGATGAGATAGTTCAAAGTACCTAGGTCATAGGCCCTTAAGAGATGAAAACTGGAAAATACTGATTATTATAATCACAATACAAAGTTTAATGATTTTATTTCAGTCCCCCTTGAATGTCAATGAGTATTTGACGTACGCAGGTTGTGTAAGTTTATGGAATCTTGAGAAGAAAAAGTATGACACTTATTTTTAAAGTATATGTAGCAATTACGAAGACAATAAAACCGGATAAACAGCACTCGTTAAGTAATCTCACAAGGACGTTGAAACTTTAAATACACCTCAACAGCGATAAATACATGTGTGGCAAACTAATCAGTGAAAAATGGTTAAATATAAAGCTGAAAGCTATTCAGAAAAGATTATGTTGAGACTGAATAGGTTTAAAATCCGTAACGAACTTCTAAACTTTTATTTTGTGTAGCATTTTTCCCACGTTTTAACCACTGTGGAATAATCAGCACAAATAACTTGGTGAGACGATCGATAAATTCACTATGCGATTCCGTTGAAGAATTTTCTTCGGGATTGCCATCAACAGTTGAGTAGGGATGATTATCGGCGATCGCATCAATACCACATGCTTCAGCGAACGATGCAAGTGTCAGGAAAGCTTCAGCCTGGTAACCACTTTTGATACCTTCAGCTCGTCTTGATTGAGTTTCGCGCAAAAGAGCGCACCACATCTAAAATTCAAAAAATGGTATACTTAAGAAAATAGATCGAGGATAGTAAAAAGGAGGGTTCAAGACGAGTTGTATAGACTGGAAACTCAAGTATATAGGAAACCGACCCATACAGATCAAATTCTCAACTACAACAGCAACAACCCAAGAGCTCACAAAATCAACTGCGTAAACACATTGTTTAAGAGGGCGAGGACACTGGCAGCACGAAAAAATGAGAAATACCTGAAGGACATATTTCAAAAGAATAGCTACCCAATCAACTTAATCAAAAAACACCAACCGCACGCAGCATTAGAACCCGAGTCAAATACAAAAATCAACAAAAGGATCACCCTACCGTACATACAAGGAATATCAGAAACCACAACGAGACTGCTGAAAACCTTCGGGATAGGTGTGGCATACAAACCGACAAAATCACTACAATCAATCCTATGCAAACCAAAGGATGAAATAACAAAGGAAAACAAATCAAACATCATCTACAAAATAAACTGTACCAACTGCGACAAACACTATATCGGACAAAGCGGACACCCCCTCCACCTTCGCCTACATGAACATCGATAAGCAGTCAAACGCCATGATATCTCTTCACTCATATCAATACACGTGGATAACTACGGACACTCATTCGATTGGAAAAATGTAGAAATCTTAGACAGAGGAAACTCCAAAAACACCAGAGAATTTTTAGAAGCCTGGCACTCAGGTCAATCAGCAATCAACAAACATATTGGAATCAACCCAATTTATCAACCAATCAGGAAAATCATGCATAAATATAGGAACAAAAATCAAACCAATGGGAGACGAAGCCAAAACAAAGAAGTAAACAACGACAAATTTAAGGTCAATAAGAACCAATCAACATTAAGGTGGACAGAACAAGCTGTGAAACATATAGAGAAATTCGAACACTTCACTTCTATCTGAAGTTTGTGCTGATGATGTCGTTCAGAAGAACGATGAAAACTCCACGACCAAACCATCCAGCTCAGAGAAAAAACCACCAAAAATCATTCACCTGAGCTACAAATCTTCTACACAATCTCAAGACTGCTTGTTCTAAGGAACGACGCGTATTTCATTATGAAGAACTAACTGTCTGTTGCGAGCAAGCGATTGCAACAGTTTTTGCTGTTTTTAAAATTCAATCAACATATTTCTTTTATGGTTTATCACCGTTTAGTATATATTCTACATGCACTTGGAACTAATTACAACTATAGTGCTTTGGTTATAATAATCTTGCTCCTTTCGATTTCACAAGTTTTATGGATCAATTAAATTACACAAATATGTTAAAAACCATCTTAAGCTAAAATCAAGATTTTCTACTACTAAAGAACGCAGATTATGATACCAGAAAAAACATTTAACAAACATGATTTTCTGCTGCTAAACTTTGATCATCTAGGTGATATAGTTCAACAAAATGTTTAGTCGATTAGCGCACTTAACCGATAAAATACAGTCGACACTGAACTGCATTACGAAGATATGTTTGTGAATCATATAAGAAATTGTACATACAACCAGAGTATATATTGCCAGACTACTAGTAAGCAGCTTGCTACACTTGATCACCTGGTAAGTAATAGTGAGGTTAGATGCAGGGTATTAGGGAATGATGGTAAATCAGTTGATGAGGTTGTGCTAACTGGTGTTCGGGATGGTTGGAAGAAAGTTAAAGGCGACCAAACCAAAACATGGCATCAGTGCTTGAAGTCACTAACTTCTAGTCTGAGCCATGTTGGTAGATGCAGATGACTTGGTTGGAGTCCGCGTGACTATCGTAACCAATGGTTGGAGACTCTTGGTGACATGACTCAGAATTGATCACAGTGGTATAGGTGTATACACTCTTTGTCTTCCCTTAAACTTTGAGATTAAAATCGCTTCATATATTTCTTTCTACGAACAAATTCTTTCTTCCTGTAATATATCCTCATACACAATCTTTCTTTTTTATATTGCTATCATTGAAGTAACTACTTCTATGAATTTGTTATTGATCTTGTTGTGTTAATGAGGTATGGCAACTTGGACCGATGCATATATGTGCCTGGTGCTACGTTGTAGCTGACTGACATACACTAATGTACACAACCTAAAACAAACTATACTGAGGTTGATAAATATGGTAATAACGGTTTTATAGCATTTTCTCAATCTTGTTGAGCATCATGAAATGTATTTGAGCAATATTTTGATTAAGGAATAAAATAAGTCTTGAAATAAAAGAAAATAACTAATTCGCCTACTGATTTTAAATTCTGAAATAAAATTCCTGTGAGGTTTCTAATAATCAAACAGTAAAGATCATTTAGCTTACTTGGTGAATAACGTCTTGATTCGCTGGCTCCTCGATAATGTTCTGTTGCTCTAGAGCAAATTCGCCTAATAATCTTGCTGCTCGGAGCAGGTAAACCTACAGAAATTAGATACACTTTTTGTTCAAAAATGAATTCCACCGAAATTCGAAAGAAATATTCAACAAATAAGCATTTCCACATTTGTACAAAGAAAATCAAAATTATGAAGCCAGCATAGTATTAAACAGGTACAAGCACAATTAAACTTTAGTTGCTAAAGGCAGTTAAGTAAACAAATTTTCTTTACGGAGATGTCATTAGCTGAAGCTGTACAATCACACAATGTTTCAATAAATATATTAGTATATACAAAAATAGGGAAGCATTACCTCATATAATATTTGGAGATTTTAAAAAACACCAGATAGTAGAACGGTCTAAACGTTCTTGAAAAATAGTACTTAATTATTTCCTTACGCCTGTTACTTCCAGTGGAGCATAGGCCGCCGACCAGCATTCTCCTGGATGATGACTTTCGTAATTCTCCACGTTTGCGACCCATACAGTCGAATTATCTCGACATTTGTATTTGGGGTTCAGATGTTATTCAGTTGTAGATATGCTGCTCTTGCTTTGCCGATCCGCGTCTTCACATCCACATCAGATCCACCGTGTTCATCAATGATACTGCTCAGATATGTAAGCGTTTTTACATCTTCCAAAGCTTCTCCGTCAATAGTGATTCGATTGGTGCATGCTGTGTTGTATCGGAGAATCTTGCTTTTCCCCTTGTGTATGTTGAGACCTACTGCTACTGAGGTTCCCTTCAGATGCTGACGTCTCCATGATCCAGTCGAAAGAGAAAGTGTGAGAACAAACAAACTTACCTGACACTAGTCGTTACTTCAAACGAGTCTGTCAGCTGTCCGCCATGCACGATTTCGCAGTTTAATTCATGATAGGAATTCCGTATGATATTGAATATCATCTCAGGCACGCTGTAGTATCGAAGAAGCTTCCATAGTGTTGTCGTGTCCACGCTATCAAATGCTTTCTCGTAGTCAATGAAGTTGATGTAGAGTGATGAATTCCATTCAATTGATTGTTCCACAATGTTGTTGTGATTTGGTCTGTACACGATCGATCCATACGGAATCCTTCATTCTGTTTAAAAAAAACCGTTTTGAAGACATTTCCTGATATTTAGATAAGAGTGATGCCCCTGTAGTAATCACACTTGCTGAAATCGCCTTTTTTTGGTATCTTGATCAGAAGTCCTTCTTTCCAGGCTGTTGGTACCTGTTCCTCATTCCAAATCTTATTGAAGAGAGTGTGGAGTATCCTTGCAGTTGCTGCCACATCTGCTTTCAGTGCCTCTGCTGGAATGTTGTCTGGTCCTGCTGCTTTGCCACTCTTGATTTGTCTGATTTCTTCAATTGTTGGTGGGCCAACATTGATTGGGAGGTCCGTGTGTGCTGCTTCGATGTTGGGTGGGTTCAATGGGGCTGGTCGATTCAAGAGTTCTTTGAAGTGTTCTACCCACCTGTTTCGTTGCTCTTCAATGTTGGTGATTACCTCGCCTTCCTTGCTTTTTACTGGTCGTTCTGGCTTACGATAATTTTCGACGAGCTTTTTTGTTATATCATACAATTGTCTCATGATTCCTTCTCTTGCAGCTTTTTCCACCGTCATTGCTAGATCTCACATATATTTACGTTTGCCGTACTGATGCTCCTCTTCACTTGTTTGTTTGTTTCTTTAAATTTAGCTAGTACCTTGTCTTCCCCTGCTCTTGTTAGGCTAATATTGATTGTTGCGTCCTTGTTCCTTTTTTCTTCAATCTTATCCAGTGCATCAACAGCGATCTATTGCTTGTGGTGGTGCTTATTGGGGCCCAGAACCTCATGATATGTCAAAGTGATTGCCTCCTCTATCCCTTTCCAGTTGCTCTCCACAGTAGTTCCTTCTCCATTGAGTAAATCGTGAAAGGCCTGGGACCTAATGCTGAGGGCCATCTTGAATTTGTTGAGTTTGTCAGTATCACGACGAAAAGCTGTACTAAACTTTTGTGATGTTGTCCGCCCCGTTGTCCAGTGCTTCTTGAGTTTCAATTTCATCTTGGCAACCAGCAAGTAATGATCTGATGCTATATCAGCTTCTCTCTTGGTTCTCACACCCTCCATCTTCTGAACTTTTCGTTGATCCAGATATGGTCGATTTGGTTCTGTGTAGTGTGATCCGGTGAAGTCAATGTGCCTTGTGTATGCGTTTAGGTAGGAATATAGTGCCGCCTATGACAGGTTATTGAAGGCACATAGGTTTGCAAATCTCTCACCATTTTCGTTCCTTTCACCCAGTCCGTGTCGTCCCATGTCTTCATATCCGGTGTTGTCCATTCCAACCTTGGCATTTAAGTCTCTCATCAGAATGGTGAGGTCCTTTGTTGGGCACTTCTCGACGATTGACTGCAGCCTATCGTAGAGTTGATCTTGAGCGTCTTCAATGTATTCGTTGGTATGCGCATAGCATTGGATGACGTTCATTGAAATGCTCTCTTTCCTTGTTCTGAAGGAGGCTTTGATGATCCTTGGTCCATGACATTCTCGTCCTATAAATGCATTTTGTGCTTGTTTGGATAGCATCGATGCAACCCCTTTTGTATGTGGGGCATTTTCTTCTTTATGGCTGGAGTTGTTGTCCAACCTGCGTCCAATGTATTTCACTGATTCTAAGCACCTTCAGGTTGTATCTCTTCATTTCTGCAGCAATTTGGAAGACTCTCCCGGTTTCCCACATTGTAAGAGCATTAAATGCACCTAAATTAATGGTTGCTCTAGTTGTTAGAAGAAAATCAGCCTCGTGACTTCCGAAGGAACTCGGCCTACACCATGAGGCGTCACAACTCTTCTAAATGAAGACCTTATAACTCCCAGGACAGATTTTAAATGGTTTAGATTATTTTTTCTGGTTAAAGTTTTCTCAGGGAATTAGTTTTCTACGGGATGAGTGTCGTTAACCCCATGCCCAACCCTCCTTCTTTACCTGAGCTTGGAACCGGCAGAAACCCAAGAGTGGCTCCAGGTGCTGGTTCAAATCCGCCTCGCCAGAGCTGGTGAAAAACAGTAAGTTGAGAGTAATTTACAGATGAAAAATATGATAGTTATCTGAATGACGGATATAATGAAGAAATCAAAAACATGAATGTGATATCTGTCAGTCGGACAACTATCATATTTTTGATCTGTAAATTATTCTCAACTTACTATTTTCAAGAACATTTAGACCGTTCTACTATCTTGTGTTACTTGAAATCTTCGAGTATTTTAACATGTGATCCCTATATTTTCAGAAAACCTCAATTATTTACACAACTTTGTTAAGTAATATTCACAAATAGATTTTCTTCACTGAATTGCATTTAATTATTATTAGTCAAAATATATTGTAAAATATTTACTGGAACTATGATTAATCAATAAAGAATTAAATCCTTAACAGTACTCAACAATCTTTATTCAAAGGCATAGAGTGGTTTCAACATTGTTTAAAATGCAGACCCCTTACTTTTCCCATAGTGGTTATCGTATTTTTAACTGTACATATAGAAGTAAAATGAAATTACTTTAGAATGGATGATGATTTCGAATTATTATAAACATCTTCACTACCGATAACTACTTCGCCAGATAGAGCGCTTACTTTACACTGAAAACAGAAATATGCAATGCGAAATAATCAAGTTAGTTGTAAGTACATTTAAATAAGGATCTAGTTTGAAACAGAAGATGACTTGCAGACTAGAATAACAACAAAAAATGCTATCCATCATATTCTACACTAGTTAGATTTTTTGAACGGATTAACCAAGTTTGTCCCTCCATTTTGTATTATTAGGAAGAGGAACGAGTAGTAATCCAACAAATGATATCTGATTTATGATGGGGCATTTCATCGAGTTGAAGTAATGAGGCAAAAACATTAATTGCTACATTTATTAGAACTGTCAATAATTAATGTGTAGAAAACACACTTGGATCTTTCTATTAGAGGTAAAATTACATAAATTTAAAGTAGATGAATAATGATGAGCATTTATCAAAAAAATACTTTAGTCAATCCATCTAAAAATATCTGACGCAAAGTAAATATTTACCTTTCCAGGCCACGGTTTACATTTATTGAGAGCAGTGGCAGTTAACTGAACTAAAATGAGCCAAGCATGAACTGCAGATTCTTCATTTTCGACCAAAATATCATCAACTTCATCTTCAACATCGTCTGAAAACCCATCGTCATCATTGTCATTCATGATCTCATTTTCCTCTAAATCAAAGATCTTTCGTTCGAAAATTTCTTGAATTTCAACCTCGTTACCATTAACTTCTAACGAAGTGCATTTATTCAGATCCCGACATTGCTTATCTCCAGATTTAAGTGAATCTTGGACAGTATTGGCTGGACCTGCATTTATGACAGTAGCTGGAGAAGTTTCGTGAATAGTTCTTGTTCGGATGCGACCATAACATCTACTGTGTTTGTTAACGCTTGTATTGGGAGAAGTGGAAAATGGTTGACCAAGCATTCGAATAGCTAGTTGAAGTATAGCAAATGAAGCCTGATTATGTACTGACCAGTTAGGAGACTCAAGAAGAGCGTCATATAACAGTTGTGTACAATGATCCAAAAGAGGTCGTCGTAAGAAACTATTTGCTAAACCTGTAGCCAATGGAAGAATAGATTTCAAACCCAATGTTACTGCATTAGGCCAAAACAAAACAGACTGAGGTGAACATGGAGCCGAGGGAATGCGAGAAATCAACTCTTCCCAGCACTCTCGCCACAACTGTTGGTAAATGTCTAAATCACTGGGATTCAATTTCGTTGATATGCTTTCTTTAATATATGGAGAAACACTTGTATTTGTTTCGCGATGAGAAGCACAAAGAGAATTGATATCAACATTACGATTTTTCGAGTGAAAGATAGCACTACTTGTTCTGGAAGAAATTAAATTTTCAACCTCACTTTCAACCTGTTGAGGAGGGGTGGTGGAAAAAAAGACGAAGATTGTTAAATAATAATGAAGGGTTTAGTGAAAAATTGTAATTATGCTTTAAAAAGTAATTGTAACTCGTACCAGTTATCAGTCTTTATTCAGTCATAAAAAAGTATATTCCTCCAAGTATTCATACGTCAATACCGGTCTAGTACAAAAAACAAAATGCAGTATTTTCTAGGAAGTTAAATTCTTTAGCACCTATCAATTACGGTTATAACTGACAATATCATATTTTACCAGATGATAAATAATCAACACAAAATAAGCTACCTGTTTGCTTAAGAAAATCAGTGGTAAAGTAATACAAGCATGAGCATATAGGAGATCAGGACAATGATGAGCAACAGCATGTAGCACACGAACACATGCCCAATGGCTTATTGAAATGTTACTACCACCCTGTACACCACCATCTGAACCGGCTGTAGCTTGTTCTGGTTGTAAGTACCACGAACGTACACGGTTGAACAGTTTTGTAACACTAGTCTCCTGTGAAAGTATAAAATGATAGAGAAATTTTTTTTTGAGAAATCATTTTATAACTTTATCTGTACGGGAAATCTATATATAAATTTAAAAGAAAATTTATATGTAACTAAAATGCACAAAAACTAGTGTAGCTGCACATATAACGCTTTAGATTACTATTATTTTAACCTATCTGGACTTAGAATTGGAGCATGATCACCAATTATTTTCAGTATGAAGTAAGTAGAAAGACATGAACTTTTTCGTTAGGTTAATTTGCAAACTTTAATTGCTTGAAGGCACAGCTACTTAAAACTAGTGTACAGAGTTCGTCTTATGACGTCCTACCTAAACATTTTCTCCATCTATTTTCTAACTGCCCAAGGATTCTAAGTGACCTATTTCTTTTGATTTAAAGTTTAATGAATACTATCTGTATGCAACAACGCAGGATTAGTTTGACGGTAATTAATAAAGCACTTAAACGCAGACACTATTGGTATTTTTATTATTATATATTCATTGAAAAAGGAATGCATCTATATAATGGAAGTTATGAATATATTACATACGATGGAAAAATAGTTGTAGGATGAATTTATTTCATATTGGTTTAACTTTTCATTCGAGTTGCATGTATACTTTTATTCTTTAACTCATTCTCTGAATGAATGTCCGACGCTTTAAACGTGTTGGTGGACACGAAGAGTCAACCTAGGGCAGCTGGAAAACCCTGATTTCAAACCAATGGTGCACATGGGCCCCAGAACCATGAGGGAACAAATGGCGTATGAACCAACTGTTGGTCACCGGTTAACATGAGACGGCATTTCCTGACGTTGCTAGACTGCCTTGTGGATCAGACCTTTAGGACGAAAGCTCCGGGTGTAGCCCGCTAGGAAAACCACCTGCTTCGGTCTGGATGCCCGAGCACGATCACAGCACACACACAAATCAAGTGATTCGTGTGGTGCTTATGTATTCGGTGCCCCTTTATACCAATATATGTGTTCAAATAAATACGTTCCTCATGCTGGATGGTTTCATGGTGGAGTTTTCAATGTTCTTTTGAACAACATTAGCAGTACAAACTTCAGGGGACGAAACTCTACCAAAATCATCCACCTAATTAAGCTACAAATCTTTCCCCACCATCCCAATTCTTAAACTCATACCATACATTTTTTTTCCTTGAAGGTTCTGCACTGTCTAAACGGTCTCAAGACTCTAAATGGGCGACTTATGAATGGTGTCATCGAGTATGAAATCTAGTGTAGCTGCTTCAAAGCTACAGGTGCAACCTAAACTTCACTCTTCCAACATTCGTATCTTGATCTAAATTAAATAACAGGTAGGTTTAAATAAGTTTCTAAAAAAGTCTTAATATTGAGTTGTGCAGTACATATGAGGCCAGTATTTTGAAAAAATGAAATAGCACAAATCTATTCTCCACCTGTCGATTAAAAGTTTGTTTGTAGTACCCTTATTCCGATACAGAGTGAAATCTGCAGAGTTTCACTGGAGACAGTGTCGCATAAGGAAGAAATACTAATCAATAAGATCGCCAGTGGTTCATGTGCCGTTAGGTTAGGAGGCTCCAACAATGTGCGAAACGATATCACTAAAATACTCCGAAAATCATGCAAAACACGTCAACGAATAGCTGATGTGGGACAAACCAGTTTCGTTACGGCTTGGAGCGTATGGATTGCAGTACGTTGCTTTAAGAGGAGTATTTTCCGTGTTAATTTTTTAAACTCAGATAACCAACAAATTTTTAAACAAGAGATAATTTACTTTGGCAAACCGCAAAAGACTGGCTAAAGTTCTAGCCATTTCCTCTTGAATAACTTTCCCAGCTGAGTTTGGATGGCGACAAGCACCAGGAAGCGCAGATAAGAGTGCCGCCAAAAGCTTTCCCGTATGAGGAGCAAGGGAGGCGAAACCATCACCAGTAGAGTTGCAACAAACAGAGTTTATTTGATTACCAGAACACGAATTAGAATAACTAGTACCATCAGGCACATTGGATGACCCGTTAGCGACTGAATTGTGTTTTTGACTCTGAAGCATTGTACGAGATCGATTCCCAAGGGTTGGTGAGTCAATTGCCCCAGAGCTTAAAGAGTGTGCGCTAACCTCATAAGCAGAACTGCAAGGAGGAGTTGGGGGAGACAATCCATACAAGGAAGAAGGTGATGAGTGTGATGATCCAGATGGTGAATTATATGTTTTATGACTAGGAGAACTGTTTGAATTATCTTTTTAAAAAAAATTCAAAGTACGAAAAGCAAATAACACAAGAAGTTATTAGGTTCAAGGAAATGAAAATAATATTAAAATCTTGAAAATTTTCCAAAGTTCATGTATTTAAGCAAATATAAAATCTAATGAATAAAAACAAAATAATTTCTATTAAAAACCTAAGACTGAAATTAAATCTTAATGTTTAACTTACCTAGACCACTGGTTACAAGTTGCGATCTAGAAGCTGCACACCTTATGCATGTAGTTGTTTTAGGAGAGACAGCCAAAGCGTTTGTATTCGCTGCAGCTAGATGAATTATGAAAACACAAGCAGCAGTCGCAATAGAAGCTGAACCACTAGCTCCAGTTCCGCTACTACCTCCACTAGCGCTGCTAGAGCCTATAGTTGCAGAAGAAGATCCACCACCAGCCTTCAAGAGTTCAGTGAATGGTACAATGAGGCGTGATAGGCAAATATCATCAAGCAGCCGAACACACTAAAAATAGTATTAAAATAGCAGTAAAATTATAGGAAAACTGATGCATAATAAATCATGAAGTATAGATACTTTCAATAGTAATTTCTTTAAAGAGATGAGGAAAACATAATACTGGTTAGCATTTTGTAACCACTCTTTGTTACATACTTCTTTGTGTCTTAATTTAGCTCTCTATATGTATATAGAAAGCCGAGTAAATGCGGATAGTCTACAAACAGTGACAAAAAGGACTTACTAATCTCAGAACTTCTGCCATTTGAACTTCCTTGCAAGCTGAAGCCGGGTTTATTGAAGGTAATACAGACTGTTGAGTAGGGTTATTAGACGGAGCAGCACTTAGTGAAATGTTCGTTGCTGATGTTAATCCTGAGGTGGAATTCAATGAATTTGGAGCAGCCTGTGAATAAATATGTAGATGATGAATAGGCTGTCGCATTAAATTAGCAACGACCGACGGGTGAATAGAAGACATTGCTTGTAATCCGGATAATACGAGCTGTGGAAGAGCAGGACGTAGTGCAGATGGACGTGCAGTACGAGCAGCTGCTAAAAGAAGTTCAAGTGCTAGTCGTCGTAACTCACTAGAAGGTTGACGGCCATTCTTATTCGAAGCCGTCTCTGCACTTAGTGACCATGGTGCACGCTCAATAATCACTGGAAGTAAACCAGGCAACAGTCCAGTTGCTGCTTCACGAGAGCACGGATTTTCCAGAACACGTATAACAAGCTAAAAAAGATTTCATGAATATAGTAGCAATAATAATACAAAAATATATTATCTCATTAGAACAAAATGGTGAAGAAATTAAAATACAATGTACTAACATCAGTGAACGGAAAATGGCCTACAAGTCTTTTTTAACACAATGCAGCACTAGATTTCACTACTAGCCACCATCGATTTCTCAGTTAGTCAGTCAGCTAAAACGTAGCGCCAGGCACATACATGCATCGGTCCAAGTTGCCATACCTCATTAGCACAACAAGATCAACAATAAATTCGTAGAAGTAGTTACTTCAATGATATCAATATATAAAAGAAAGATTGTGTATGAGGATATATTACAGGAAGAAAGAATTTGTTCGTAGAAAGAAAGATATGAAGCAATTTTAAACTCAAAGTTTAAGGGAAGACAAAGAGTGTATACACCTATACCACTGTGATCAATTCTGAGTCATGTCACCAAGAGTCTCCAACCGTTGGTTGCGATAGTCACGCGGACCAAAACCAAGTAGTCTACATCTACCAACATGGCTCAGACTAGAAGTCAGTGACTTCAAGCACTGATGCCACTTAACATGATGGACCAATCAGGCTACACTGACTGGAACAATCATTGCATAAGGCCCTACCACGCCAGACAGGTCGGTTGAAGAGTGGTAAGACTAAAAGCAGTAAACCCAAGATCCGAGGGTCAAGTCGCGCTGCTGACGACAGTAAGATGTTTCCTTTAGTCAACCAGCATAACAGCGATGCTGCCTTCTCACGAGGAGGAGTGAGGTTAGGAAAGGTCCACGCTAAAAATGCATACTTCGTCCTCATATCTCCAACAGCACTATTTATTGCTGCTTATAATGCTTGTGACTTAAGATAATATCGAGGGTATCCGCATAGGATGCACATATACCAGAAAGGGACTGATCAATTGCAGTGTTAAGCATCAATGTGAAGATTCAGACAACCGATAAAAATTAATCAACCAACAGTTTTAATCGAGTTAGTGATTCAACATTGAAATATTTGTTATACCGAGAGCACTTGCAGTCACTGATCATACCATTACTTCTATGACATTTTAAATAACATTTCAAGGCGAAGTATTTATAAACGGAAGTTTTAACAATTTGTTTGTGATTCAAACAAATTTGTGGTTGATATTACCATGAAGACTGTAATACCTACCAAATGAAACTGATTAATGTTGCAAAACTAACGAGAGTGAACAGAATAACTTCTGAACATATGAATAAAGTATTATAAAGAAGTAGCGTGTCAAGAAAAGTAACCGCAGAAGTTTGCTGTGCTCTGAAGTCTAGTTCATTTACTTTCAACACTTCTAACGATTGTGAAAGAACCAAAGAGAGTAGGAAAATTAAGAGTGAACAGGAATTTATGTTTTAAAAGGCCAATAAATAAGTAGGAAAAAAATCCATGCACAAATACATATACATAATTCGATTAATTCAGATAAGGAAATGTGGGGGAGGAATTTGGACAAATGAATCGACTACTTACAATAAGCTACCTCACATTGGTAATTCTCGTTTGTCATATATTCGTGTAACAGTTTGTGAACCGTTCTGACTTGCTTGGAAAATCATTCATTAACATATCTCAAATAATACAAGAATGAGTCATGAAAAATGGGCGTCGGCTTAAATAAAATTTGTGTTTAAATAACGGAAGCAAGAAAAACATAAAATTTTATTAGCGAAGTTTAAACTTACTTTTTGTACAGTGATGGCAGCTTCTTCAGCGGGAGTTGTGATGCCTGAATTATCATTTTCAAGCATGTCACTTGATTCAGATTCATCACATAGATTAAGGAGTCCAGACAATAGAGCGGGCAAATGCCCTGCAAGACGCTTATCAGCTGAAGGATGTGTGGCTAAACTACTTATAGCCAAGCAACAGGCATCTCTTAAACGCATGTTTTGTGTGCCCGTACCACTGTTTTGCGAAGTGTTTGAGGGTATTTTATTTGTTGATAATGTTCCCGAACCGTTAGGAACGTTTGTGGTTGATTGAGGAGAATTGCCACCCATTTGTGTTGAATGAAAGCTCAATGTGTTAAATCCCAGTTGAGTTTTGATCTCACATACGATCGCGTTGAAATGTGCTTCAATCTGACAAGATAAATTAGTAAGTCAATGGTTGATAGATAATAATTTGGAAATAAAAACAACTGATTTTTATTCATCACGTGGCAAGTCTGCATATGTTTATCTTAAACCCGGCAACCGTGTACTACAATTAATTTTCATATTAATGGTGTAGCTCAAACTCAAGTGTTCTAACCTTTACTTGATCAATTAATTACATTCAAATAAACTGGATGATTAGAAAGAAATTAAGCTAATTTGATTGCTCTAATCGGATGAGAAAACTAGTGTGAATTGAAAATACTGATTGCCAGTCGTTACAGTCACAAAAAATGAACTAAGTCGAATAAAAATAAACTCAAGTTGCTTGAAGTAAGGACGCTTATGGAGAAAAAAATATGTAGAAAAATTTATTGCTTATGATAAATGTTTAATATTGAAAGTGTACTTGCATGTTTTAAATGAAACAGAATATCAAACCACATGATAATAACTTAAGTGAAAAAAACATATGTAGCTCATTCAACAGGCGCTGAGTTGCTGTGAGTAAATTCGGCGAATATTTCTCATGCGATGAATTGGCACTGTGAAAAATTATGCGACTTGATGATTTGTGTCAACTAAGTGAGAGAGAATTGAATAAAGCTTTTAAGGTTATCTACAATATCCCATCTAATTTGCCACATGGTTTACGAGTGCGCCTCTTGCACATTGCGGAAGCCATCGGAATCCATGTTCACAAACCTGACCTTTGCATTCAAAAGAGATTCGTACAACCACTTTCTCTGCCCTGGCCATCAGTTTAAGATTTCCTTCAAAAGAACTAATTTTCATACTTCTTCCACTTGTTTTTTTTAACTTTTGTAATTTTGTTTCTGTTGCTTTTGAACTTAATAACTTCTCAACATTCATCTCTTGATTCTTACGTAACTACCATCCTATTGACCATCCGTTAAAATTCTGTTCCTTCTTTGTTTCTTACATTACGCAACGTAGCAACTTCTTGATCACTTTGAATATTAATAATCCTCTTTCTTCCAATTAATCAATGTTAATTTAAATGTCATTATGTAATTATTACGTAACGTATCTACTCGATGAGTATTATATTATTATTGTAAAACGTATATATATTAGTGTAGAGCAATGATGAAAAACTAATTGAATGAAATTTCTTCGCTTAATTCGTTCCTTCTTTATTTACCAAATGGCAAAATGGGAATTTTCACTATATTGAAATGATAATTGTTCAGTAAACAATTAGAAATACCTGATTGGTTATTGCTTCATTTTCTAGTAGTAGATTTACTTCCGAGTAAGTGAATATAGTTGAGTACTCTACATCCATGACTTCCAACTAACAAATGACGAGTTTAAATTCACCTTTAAATACTAAGGTCTAGAAAGATCAGTATCATTTGTTAGATAAAGTAATAAATGAGAAAGCATAATATGTATTAAGAGTCGAAAACACTATTAAATAAAAGTGAAACTTACCATTTCCGAAACTAAAGAATGCAATGAATTCGGTACGGGTGATGAAGGCAACTGAGTATTTTGATTGGTTGGACTTGTTATTGTTGATGACGAACCAGATATATTAGGATATGAAGTGTTAGTTGATAGAAATGGTGTTGCCGAATTAGTTGCATATAAAACCAAACCAAGCCAAACATTCTCCATTGCCTGACGAAGTTTAGGCCGAGCAAAATCAAAACGACGGACAAATACTCGAGGTACTAGACGTGGGAGAGCGGGAGCTAAAGATCTACCGAGTCGTCGTACTAGACTTGAATAAGTAACGCTTGATGCCAAATTGAATGCTATATTAGAAAAACAACTTCCAGATTGAGGATTCCCAGAAGCATTGGTGTTACGTGCCGTTGATGGGAGAGCGATGGCTAACACAATTAATGATAAAGCCAAGTCTGGGCGTCCAATTTGTTGAGCTAAGTTGCACAGTTCATGATAAACTGGAGAACTGGATCTGTAATAGTAAGAAAAATATCAACGAAATGAAGATTATTTCAGTTCATGGTTAATATTACTCAGTGTAATTGAGAAATGTGATGACAGCTGAACCAACTAACAGTAACATAACAACTAAAGTGAATGCAGTAATAACTGATTCACCAACAACGATATTCATAAAAGTACTAAATATAAAATATTGTACCGATCGGCAGTCCGATGTCAAAAAACAATACTAATTACCAGAAACGTTTAAACTGTAGGTTACGATTTGTTGTTTAGCAAAAATATTTTCCGTTACTATGATCTGATGTCAAGTGAAAAAGTAGGAAAGCATAAGAAATTCTGTTGTGGACTATAAGTGATGACTGAAACAAATCGATACTACGTAAAGTTGAGAATGCTAGACAGATAAGTCAAATATCATTATGCCAACTTGAATTAATTCTCTTTATATTCAATTGTTCAAGTAAAAACAATTATCTTGAGATTCATACAGATACAACTTGAAAGAGCGGAAAGGTTACGATTAGCAAATAATATCTAGCATCAATGAATATTTGTTCGTGTTTTAAAAGAGACATTAAGTATACATTTAAAATATGAAACAAATGATAATCTTATAAGTAATAAAGTAGTTTTAGCTCGTTTTACAGTAAATTTAATGTTTAAGGGATGAACTCATGTAAAGAAGTTATTGTTGTTCCTTTGAAGGAAACCTTACTTTTTATCATCTCCGATTGCTTGTGTTAAACTTGTAATAAGCTCTGAACGTTCGTCTTCTGAACTTCTGTCATAAATTAAGCCCAAAGTTGCAACAACAACGCACTGAACGGACTCTATAAGTAGAACATATAAATAGGTGAGTAAAAATCTACAACCAATTGAATGTGATCCAAAAACTCTTGTCTTGTTTTTCCGTTATCTAAAAAATAACCATTACTATGACTTTAAAAAACTGTTTTGTGTAAGACTACTTGATTTATTGTCTAAAAGGAACAAACGAATTTTGTCCGTGCTTGGCTTTTATTTTTTTACTTCCATGTACATACATAATACGGGAACAGCACAAAGAAATTGCGAATTTCTATGATTATTCATATATACCTTGACTTTTACCGCACAACCACAAATAATTTTTACTGAATGAGTGATAATTTAGACATAGTTAAGTTTTATCCCAATGGATGTCAAATATTTTCTTAATGAATCAAAACCTGATGATCCCCCATATAAAGTATTACAGCTCGAAAGCTAAAAAATTTTTTTCGTTAATTTTCAATATTTATCGTTACGTATAGGACACTTACTTGATTACACCTAATAAGTAAAGCACAAGCGGTTAAAAGGAACATTAGAATTTTCATTTAAAGAGCGAATAAAAGTTTGGAGCTACAGGAAAAACTTGTGATAACTTTAAAGCACAAAGAAAGCGAGAAAGTCAAGGTTAACGGATGTCAAATTGTAGCATCTCGCAAGTGCATCTACTTCTGATTGTAATAATTATGAACAACAAACCTAAAAAATAATATGAAGTAGGTGTACGTCACAGATTGATACAAACTGGGGAATTGTTAAATAGTCACTATAACCTAATTTGTAAAAAAAACCTCAAACACTACTTTATAAAAGGTTTGTAAGTAGGATTTAAGCATCCTAATCTAAAAATTTCGTAAAACCATAGGTTTAAAAAACAATAGAATCGAAATAGTTATCGTTACCATCTTTTTGGTCCAAAAGATCAATTAGCAACTGGTAAGAAAGTAGTGATTTTGGAAGTGGACCCAAACGCCGAACTAAGTTAAGAATCCATAAAGTTGCAGCGATTGTCACTGGTCGTGTTTGGACCTGTCCTGGGCGGGGGGTAAGTAGTGATCGAAGCTGTTCTGCCAACCATCGAGCATTTGGTCCGGTAACAGCAGCATTTAAACTATGTGCTGGAATGACAAGAGGATAATTCCTTTCATACCAATGAAACCGATAGGGTGATATAGGTCCAAGAATGCAGTCAGCTAGGGCAGTCCCTACAGCTAAATGAAGGCTTGGGTCGTTAATCTGAACAGATATATGAGAGAGAAAATACGAGTAAGAAATGCTGATACAAATATTTTATCTGATATATAAATTGATATTAAAATATATACTTTTAAGTGACTGAAAAATCATATAAAAATCTTATCTTTGGAAACACCAACTGATGGAATGAAATAAAATTTTCTGTTTTTGAAATAGGTAGATATTTTAAATTATAAGAAAATCTGACCTCATTTTGGAAACATTAAACGGAGCTACTAGACATTATCAGGTTTTAATTTCTGAATATTCATCAGAAATCATAATGAAATAAGACTTTAGCCAGCTATGAATTATGGGGAGCTATAGTCCCCTTCCGCAGTCGGTAGAATCATGAATGTGACAAAGCGAAAAAATATCACAGAATCCCAAATCAATAATTAGGATCAGGAGTATGGTCGCCTAGAGATACAATAATAAACGATTTCATGAAACTTGTTAGATTACAGCAGAGAATAGATTACACCGCAATAAACATACATGTTTTACAGCCACTTCTTAGGAAGTAGGGATATCAGCTTTTAGTAAGAAAAAAGCATTTCTTACATGATATTTCCTTTTCTTTATTACGACACTAGTGGTTCGAAATAGTTCATAGTATAAATTTCAATCTTTATACGCAATGTGATCCAATCATATGCGCAAACTGGAAAATTTCTGAGAACACTAGTTGTAGAATACTCCATGTATTAGCATCAAAGTTGTTATTAGCGAAAAAAAGATTGCGATAGTAAGAGAAACTATTACCTGATATCAAATAGTAAATATAGACAAAAGAATAAAGGTTAAAAATCGTCATCTAAGCGACCGAATCGATATAAAACTACCGAGAGAACAAAAGCATACAACGGTTACGAGTTTTTTTCCCAAAATTGTGAAGACTACGAGAAATCATTTATGGCGGCTAATAGTCGACACAGAAACAAAATGAACTTCAGAATAAGGAGCGTCTGCTTTGAAAAATTACTGGTCTAAAAATTTGAAAAAACTATCAAAAAATTGTTAAATAACGAACCACAGTTAAGTTGCCTTTTTAGAGATGTTTGAATTAAATGACTGTTGTGCTCCTGTTGGGAACGTTAGATCCCCAGAACTCACTTGGGAAAGGACCTAATTTTGATATTTTATTTAGAAAATTTGAATTTCTTTGTTTTCGCGCCAAGGGCGCTCTTGTCACCTTCATGTCGTATTTCCCACTGGGAAATATCTTAAATGCTATTGGTCTGTTGCGTCTTTTAGTATGCTATTTGGTAACTCTCCCTAAGGACGGTTTTGTACTGTATATATACGTTTTGAATTGTGTTTGTTGTCGTCGCTCGTTTCTGGTTGTTTCCAGAATATACTTCCCATTCCAAGTTTAGAATTCTTTCTCTAGTTAGCGGGGCTGGGACGCATCAATAGCTAGCTTACTGGTCTTTGGTCACCGAGTCTTGTTTCTCGTTTTCAGATTAAGTGAACTCGTGATAGTTTCAACCATAACAGCTCCTCAGCTAGTACACTGAATAAAGAAGCCATTGATAGAGTAGTTTACGTACTTTTACTCTTTGACTAATAATTTCTTAATTAAATTCATTCATTGAGTACTGCTCAATCTTTCCTTTTTTGAATGATGATAGCTATGTCCTATTTCCGTATTGATAGTAGCTATTTGTCATAAGAACAGAGTAGTTGTACACAATCTATCTACAAATTAGCACATACCCTCTTAAGAGCATAACAATAAATGCTTTGATTAGTTATTTGTATATATATTACCTACCGACTTAAAATGTAGGATTTTCCCTTCAATTTCTTATATCTACATTATATGCGGCGTGGGTTAAATTGAGAGAGTTGAACAAAGCCTAAAAACTAGTTAATCAAATGCGAAGTAGAATCTAGTATGTGTGTACATCGGTTCACGTTCCTATACTTTATAAGCACAGTGAGATAAAAACCTTAAGGCACACCCCAGAGTATTAGGGTTAGTAAAAGTATTAGTGGTCATAGAAAAAGATTAAGCATCGAAGATACGATCCAAAAAAATTAGTTCACTAAAAAGATTGTGATGAATTTCGAAACTCAGAATCTAGGGAAAGACAAAGAACAGATGCATCTGTACCATGCCATCCAAAGGCTTTTACCATTGGTAATGACAACTATGTGGACCCTAACCAGATAGTTTTCAACTAACTAGATGGCTGAAAGTCTGATAGTCAATGAATTCATGAACTGGTATCATGTCTTGGTTTGACCGTTAGTAGATTTATTCTACCTCACTCCCACACCAGACAACATTTCCCGTCGAGGTAGGTGGTTGGGCAAACGTAACACAAGTCCTTACCACCTTTTTCGATGAAGGTTCAGTGCTTTATCAATTGGTTTGTCACACCTACCTAGTACGCTGTTCCTAACACGAGGATTACTTGGGTTTGAAAATGAGAATAGCAATTTGCTAATTTCTCCTTAGACGAATCCAAGATAGGGATTATGCGCTATGTTAGCAGACCTTAGATGATGGTAGTTGAAGTATAAGAGCGAGATATCAAATTCATGAGTAGAGCAATTTCATAAAGAACATTTCTAAAGAAATATATTAGAGAGGATGAACATATAACGGACAGTCAAGAAATCGAATTTCTACTTACTTCAGCCGTACCCACCATAATTTTCATAATAGAAATCGTGTGGGGATGACATTTGGGTTTTGAGTTTTCGGTTGCTTTAGATTCTGAAGAATGAGATGCTTCATCTTTTGTGGTTTGATAACCTTCACCCATGCAAACGGCTGCCAAAGTTCGAAGAGCAGCTTGTGAAACTCTTGGATATCTGAGTGACGATGAGGAACGTTCTTCACTAACGGTTGGCAGATATGATACAATTCGATGAACAAATGAAGCTTTGGAACTCAGTAATGAGGTGGTCGAATTGTTACCTTCAATGGGTAATGTTCCGGATGGAAGATGCGATAAACAACCAGCTCTGCCAATAACAACAAGTGCCTCGAGTAATGCAACCACTGTAGCTTGTGATACACTAGAATTAACATAGCAATATCCATCGTTGTCCAGAGTATTTTTTGTGTTATTTATTTTTAGACTATCAACAAGCTGACTAGGCTTTACCAAAAATCCATCTATGAAACGATGAAAATTAGTAAAGACAATATGTAGAAGATGATACACATAATCAAGAACTAAAGGCTAATTAACAAACATTTACTGAAGTATAAATTCACATACTTATGGATAATTCTTTTACATGTTTGTCATTAGTTTTATTCGTTGTTCATATGAAAATATAGGTACGATAATCCTTGGTTAAAGAAGGATGTTATTATCTCAGTTTAAAAATTTCCGTTCAGAAATGAGAATTAAAAATTGGCGTAAATTACATTTGGATATTAGTAATACAATAACAAAAGCAAACATTTTTGGAATATAAAATGAGTCTATTATTGGGATTTACTTAAAATTAATATCGATAATTTGAAAAATTACTAACCCATTAGACTTAGCAGTTCCTCTATGGTTCGAATAATATCAGTTTGGAGGTTTCTATGATTTTGTTGTTTTTCTTTTTTTCCCTTTTTTGTTTGTTCCGCTGAAGACTGTTTATTGGTTTTAGAAGTAACACCAGTGGAATTAAATGGTACAACATAAGCCGTGAATAACCGTTCGAGAAGATAAGCTGCACCCATGAACATGCCCTGAACTGCATGGGACGATTCGCCATCGATAACAGAACCTGGGCTGGGAAGTGTAGCCAGCATACCTTTTGCTGTTTGCAAAGCCTGAGAGGGGGCTTCAGTTTCCATAACAACTACACTGTAGACAGAAGCGCAAGCGTGACGACAACTCGCTCCTCTAGGGGTTGCCAACAATACATTCTAGAAAACAACGGAGCAATTTAAATTTTAAAAAATAAATAAGATATGCTTGGAAGAACTCAAATTACTCGTTTTTATAGTTTATGCTCAATATCCAGGTCTTGCTCAGATTAGATCGACTGAATTCAGTTACGCATAATAACCGAAAATAGATGCACAGAATAAACAAATAGTGAAAATGTGAGGAGCATCAACGCAGATCAAGGAACCCACCGAAAGATTCAGAATATTCATGAGTCACAATACACCTCAATTTTGTCAGTTCTATAACAGAAGTACATGATTTTGTGCTAGACGTATGCTCGTAATACCGCAGAACTCCAAAGAAAGTGATTATTGAGGATGGTTTCGAATTTAAGTCCAAATGGTACACTGATTTTTGTTAACGCACCACTGAAAATTATATTCGCACACTACTATACCATCCATAATCTAATGGAAAGATTCAAAGACTTGTGGACAGTTCAAGGAGCAGATTTGATTAAAAAAGGGAACATGCTCTAGCAGAGATAATTCAGTGTATCCTATTCATTTACAAGAGTACCCAGTACAACAGAAATCGTTAGGAGAGGAATTAATGGGACGAATGCATCGAACAATAAACTGCATACTGAGACCAGTCAGGAGCAAAGACAACCAGATGATATTTTATATTAGACTGATGAATCAGTGTTTGCGGATGTAACAGAAATCAAGCATGCGTAAAATGTGTCAGTGCGTAGAAAACCTTTAGAGGTAATTATGAAAGGAAAAATATGAGTGGAGTGTTAGAACCTACAACACAGAAAACTCAGTGAAGATCAGCCAGAAGAACTCAACATAACCACTAAACACTTTCCTTGATGCTTTTAAATTTTAGATGTTACCAACAAAAATGCAAAGCAGTGAAAGAGAGAGTGTAAATTGAAAAAATTGACAAACTTAAGAGAAGAAATACCGTAAGATTTCAAATGCAATGAACTTATTTCAAAAACCAAAAGTATTTATTTAATCTAAAATATCTGTTTCATTAACATTTCGAAAAACGACAGCTCAAATACGTAGGGACGCCCAAAGTAACCTATTTTATTTTATATCCTCACTGGGTCTTATGCTATCTGATTAGCTGTTCTAACACTTCGTTTGCTATTTTTTCGTGTATCCGGTTCAGATTTGCTATTGTATAGGAAAAGTTCTACAAAAATTTTCACTTCTTTGCATACTAGGACCATTTTCAGAAATCCTGATCTATTTCTCTTAAATTGTGTGAGAGATTGTTGTTTAAATGTTGTGTATCAGTCATCCGGTTCGTCCAAATGATCGATGTTTGGAATCACCATAAGCTTAAAAACGTAACATTACGAACTGTCAAAATTTGGCTTATTAGAGATTTTGAATATTTTCAGTGTGTTGGACGATAGAAAAACTTAAAATCTCTGAGAGCAGGTAAAATTAGGTTTGGAGGCAGTCATTTTTAAAAAAACAAGTACTTGAAAACAAAGAAGTTGGTTTGTAAACAAGTAGAAAAATATTTGACGAGAAGATAAATTGTAGTACGCCGGTAAAAAATGATTACTTATTTTTATTCGATATATATTAAGGAAACTCACATTCATACGATCAAAAAGTTGCTTATTACAAGTAATCAATTCTTTGGTATTGCCAACCAAAACCTCTTCTAGATAATTTGGGAAATCTGGAGCTGTAAGATTTAAGGAAAATAAGAACAAGTTTTATAACCTGGTTTTGAATAAAACCAAGATAAAACACTCAAGCAACTGTTGCTGCATATCTACGGATTATTTGCATTTATATATATCACAGATTTAGGAATCTGCTTATTTAAGATAAAAATTTAATGACGATTACCAAGGAGAAAATCACAAGAGTCTGGTGCATAATTGTAATACGCAGCAAACAGCTACTGAAGTACAGAAGTGGATTGAGGAGTATTAGAACTCGAAATCAGGGGCTTGATGAAATAATAATTGTCTTTTGCGAGAGATTTTGTGTGATACACCACGGTGTCGCTAGTAGTATAACATATGCCGTGCATTATATTACCACCAAATTTTCACTTAAAGAATTCTTTTGCGAGGTCTTTCATCAACTCTCGGTCTTACAGTTTTGCTTTGCTTGCCTGATGCAAATTATGAATGGTTGTTTTATTTCTTAGGTTGCCTGATACTGACTTGATTAATACATCAAACACTAATTATTTTTTCTACTACTAGTATCTAAATTCGAATGTAAAACCTTAACAACATTAGGGGGAATGACATTCATGTATACTTTTGGAGTTGTTAACACCCTATCATAACAACGATAAATTTCGGCTTAATTTACAGGTGATAATATAGTGTAATGCTTTTTTATATGTACAGGAAGTATTGCCTGTTGAGAAGTTTTTCTTAATATTCACAAGAGTATAGATGATTTGTGATATTTCGTTTGCAAAATAAATTCAGATATTTTTCAGAAAATTAGGTGAGATGAAAATAAAATAAAACTAACAATCTTTAGTGTGCTGCGATCGCGTGAAAATAACCACTTGAATAAGACGAAAATAAGTGTCGATACTGCGTTTCGCTTGTTCAGGATTGATAACTGGAACATTCGCACCAGTGGAAATAGAGGTACTCGTTGAAGTTGTAGATACGGTTGTTGTGTTGTTAACTGAAAGAGGGGTTTGAGATACGGTTGTCGTCAAGTTTCCAGCAGAAAGAAAGTACCTTACAGTTTGGTTAATCAAATATCGAACCTCTTCTTCCGTTTCGTAAGTAAGCCCAGCCTCCTGTGCAGGTGTTAAACCACCATGGGTTGCCAACAAGCATAAGCGAATAAACTGAACCACCTACAAGAATCAATATATGGTGATTAGTGAAATATATATGTTCTGCACGGTAAATACGCGAATTAAGCTACCAGAACTCTAAGTAATGCACACAACCCAGCAAACAACATATGACGTTAAAAGTGAACACTTATCATCGTGGAAGAATTTGGACTTGATTGTTTATTTACTTACTTATAAAAATTGTAATTTCTCTGCCCCGTTTAGTAAACTCGCAAACCAAGATAAAAAACACTAATATTACAAAATTTTGGGTTGTTCGATCACTATACTAGATTATTGTTCTCAATCACTAGAACTGTGCTCTGGCATTTCTCTTCGTCCCCCGAAAAACAAAACAGAAGCTTTCCACGAATATTTTAAGTAATGGGCAAAGTGTATTGTGGTAAAAGTTGAATATTCCGGAGGTTATAAAACTAACGAGTTTGTACAATGAGATGTGAGTGACACCAGTGAGAGCGGTGTTTAGATCAGAAATATGTTAGAGAAATCCGTCGTTGCGGAGACCACGAAATCACATCAATCCATAAAATAAGTTTAAATTGAGAGATAACGATTCCAGGTATTGATCTTCGTAACTGTCACACTTCGAAGTTGGGGAAGTTGGGTGGCGGAAAACCCACCTTATTGTGATTGCGACTGATTACAATCAGTCAGTCAGCTAAAACGTAGCACCAGGCACATACATGCATCGGTCCAAGTTGCCATACCTCATTAGCACAACAAGATCAACAATAAATTCGTAGAAGTAGTTACTTCAATGATATCAATATATAAAAGAAAGATTGTGTATGAGGATATATTACAGGAAGAAAGAATTTGTTCGTAGAAAGAAAGATATGAAGCAATTTTAAACTCAAAGTTTAAGGGAAGACAAAGAGTGTATACACCTATACCACTGTGATCAATTCTGAGTCATGTCACCAAGAGTCTCCAACCGTTGGTTGCGATAGTCACGCGGACCAAAACCAAGTAGTCTACATCTACCAACATGGCTCAGACTAGAAGTCAGTGACTTCAAGCACTGATGCCACTTAACATGATGGACCAATCAGGCTACACTGACTGGAACAATCATTGCATAAGGCCCTACCACGCCAGACAGGACGGTTGAAGAATGGTAAAACTAAAGGCATCAGACCATCCCTAACTGAATGTTAAATACCATAAATTATGAGTTGAACTTCATTTATTTCTTGTTATCACAACTGAAACTCTTAAACAGATGCGAACCAGAGATACTAAAATATTTTGGTAATATATTCTTCACAGGTTATCGATAAACACAGTTAATCCAGTTAATATTTCTTTCAACTGTGAATCTTTGATCATAAAGAACCATGTATAGTTGTACAACACAACCAAACTTCAGATTATTACAATGAAAATTCCAGAAATACGATATTTACCGGAATCAGACGTTCCACTTCAACAAACGGGTTTTTACGTGAATGTTGAGTATCCTAAAAGTAAAGACAGAAATTTTAGGGAAAACAAATTATTCGTAAACATTTTTCGACATCATTCACCAAAGCATCACCATTGTATAAATAAACTGTTGTAAGGAAAACGTAAAATTAGTTACATCAAATAAGATGTCATCACAGCATATAAGTCTCGTGATTTCATTCGGAGATGCAGTTCGTGAGATATCGACAGTATAATTACGGAGAAGGAATATATTAATAGCTTATAATTATCAGTTATAAAGCATACGACATCGTTTCTTCTCGTCAGAACCCAGTATATCAGAAAGTGTAAACTAGGGTACTATTTTGAGAAACAAATTAAACACCCTTTCGAGTTGTGATAAGCGAATTAGAATTTTATTGTCATTATAAGAGTGACGCTTTCATAGTTCAAACCAACTATGATGAATGTGATATGTTCGTGCGTTATAATAATGTTTTGCAATACTGATTTTCGTACAATGAACGCGACTGCTTCTATTCTCTTTTTAATTATCCCGTTAGCTAAAGTAAAGAGACTAGTTCAATAGTTGAGGCTTTTTGACGATGACCCCAGTATATTAACCAAAAATACATTTAAGTTAATCAATTATATATCGACCATAATTATTAGAATTTGTAAACTGAGAATTTATTACTGATTGGAAATAGTAGTAAAAATGTACTGAAAGTTTATGAGCTGATTTCACACTGAATAATATAAACTAATGGAAATCGACTTTAATAGACGCCAAATTCTTTACTCGTAAGTTATATTTAAGGGTTGAACACATTAAACAGAATCTCACAATTTATGAGAAACGTTCACCAAAATTCCCCAACCAGTCACTTCGAAAAGGAAGAAAACCGTGGTATAGAACTAAATAGTCAGCTAGAAAGCCTTTATAAATTATGACCACACCATAACACGAGTCGATTGTCGATTCCTACTTCTAGGCTCGGTGGAACTGTGCTTCATGTGGTAGAAAGTTATGCATCAAGAAATAACGTCAACCAAATACTTCTTAACAATGAATTGTTCTCAAGTCAGTCAGTCAGCTACAACATAGGACCAGGCACATATGTGCATCGGTCCAAGTAACAGCGTTCTGATGTTAAAATGTTTCCTAAATAACTCATATATGTATGTTATTTTGTATACGACTCACATGATTAACAAATTCAACGAAAGATGGTAGTTTAACGCGCCCATAGACGATGTCATGAATAATATTAGGGTCAAGAAACTGTTCGAAAGCCACGCATGCTTCAGCTCTTACGCGGGGATCCCTGAAATAATAAAAAAATATATAAACAAAGAGTTTCTTTAGGAATAGTAAAGGAATTTATATTCACCCCTATAAGTGTTTGAAAACAATCTATTCGAGCAGAGATTTTAAGTATTCTATTGAAGAAATGTACTGTTAATATAAAGATCGAAAACATATTTTAAGGATAAGGACACAAGATACTTTTTAAATACTAATGAAAAACTGCTATACATAGATCTATCCTCTGTGAAAAAGTCCTTTTTCTTGAGTCAGAGAACTAACCAAAAAAATTTAAAGCCTATTTAAATCAGATAGTAAGCAACCAAAGTGGAACTCAACGTTTCAGGACATTGGTCATAGAAGTAAACTATCTACTTTATAATTATTTACATCCTGATCTCTAGACGGAACAACTTTATTGAATAATACATAACTTTGTTGAAACAATCAGCAAGAACCATTTAATCACTTTCTATCTTATGATTTTATTTTAGTTAAAATTGTATATACAGTGATATCTTTTTTAAAAAGTTCTCTGCAGTCAAAGGTCAGGATTGTATTTTGCTATTCCATGGCTCAGTGAGATAAGGTTATAGTGACAGAAATCATGCATGATTATTGCAAATTCTTTTCGATTGTCGAACTATAGTCTATTCCGTCATATAAAGGTTGCTAAAGTTTATCAGATATAGTGCTCGAGATAATTCCTCGCTTAACAGGCAAAAGTCCAATTAAGCCTGGCTCAAAGGAGGCCTTGTGGTTATACTAAAAAGGCCCACAATACAAGTTGCGGAAAAAGAACAGCTTAATGAGGAGGAAGACGACTAACGAAAATATTAATTTAAAACAACCTACAAACTTAATGCCCTTAAATTAAAAAAAGGTTATATAAAATCAAACAGCTGAATAAAACTGGACGGATATAATCAAATGAACCATAAAAATTCAAAAGAAAGTAACGTACTTGTCGCCCAATGCCTGCAGTATAAGATACCTCGTAGGGATGTGATCAGATGGATATATTAGACCGGCAAAGTTGACAGCAACTAAACGACTCAGGGGGTCGGGCTAAAAGAGAGTAACCAATTATTTTGTTCCAAATTAATTCTATATTAGTTATAGGAAATAGAAAACTAGCGGTCAAACAGAAAATAATGTAAATAGAGCAAGAACAAACATTGATGCAGAATAGTATGAATTCATATTATTTCGAGGTTTCTCGTCAGCTGCTTACAAACCAAAATTGTGATAGAATTTTTACATGGAGATAGTGTGAAACAATTGACATAAATGAGTGTAAATAACGTGAAGCTTTGTATAGGTTATAAACTGTTTCTGACCAGGACCAACTTTTCACACAGTCGTGACCAGTATTCTACCTGTCCTCCTATATTGGCAAGTCCAGTCTAGACTGATAGTAGTGACATTGTGATCAGCTACCGAATGCCGGCATGTATGTGTGCAAGACTATCATTTTTTAGAGTACCTGTCAGGATCTTGATTACGATCTGTTATCCCTACAACTTCATTGCTGTGGCGCACATTTAGTACCCTATGTGGTCAGACTTCATAAATACACTGACCACATGCAAATATGGAAAATTCTTTCAAGGTGAACGGAGGATTTTTCACACCATCGAAAATACGCCGACATCAAAAAACTGTTCATAACTACATGAATTATGTATGGTTTTAAAAAATATGCATTATAAATTTTCGAAATATCGGGAATTGAAAAATACCTTCTCAATATTTTCATAGAGAAGACGTTCCAACTTAACTAAGTGTCCTCGAATAGAAAGACAATTTTGTTTTTGTGCACTGTGTAAAGCGACTGCTAGCCTTCTCAAACAATGAGCTGCAGCAAGTTTCAGTTCATTGGGATTCTCCTGAAATAAAATTATGAGAACATTTCAATAAGCAAACTTGCAAATAAATAACTTAGTTTATCGAACAACTCTTAGGAAACGAACTAGAAGGTTATTGGAACATTTGAATGCCTTGATATGGACGGGTAAGAGAATAGATTACTCTCACTTTCAACTGAAAGTTAGGTCCTGTTCTAGCACATATTTTCGTGGCTAATCTCGAAAGAACCAAGCTCAAAGGAGTGATTCACGAAATGATGTATTATTCGAGGTATGTTGATGATACCTTCATCGTATGTAATCAAAAACATGAAGCAAATCTGCTAAAACTTTCAATCAAGCCCACCAAATATCCAGTTTACTAAGGAACATGAAAATGAAAACAAGTTCTATTTTCTCGATATCACAATAAAACGAAGGAAGGATGGCACAGATCAACGTTCAGGTTACAAGAAAGAGACAGAATGGGATTTATCCAAATTTCAATAACTTTTGTTCAATCACCTACAAAAACTCAGTTAAAACACTGTTTCACAGAACAGAAAGAATATGTACTGCCGATACTCTAGATATGGAAGCAATGAATGTTAACAGATGTTAAAAGAATAACGCATATCCACTGAAATTTATTGAAAAATGGAAAACGTGAAGATAAAAGACCCAAAGAAACTTCAGTAAATAACAAAAAACATTTTTATTCAACTTAAATCTAAAGGTGATGATGTCACAGTATCCATCAATATGACTAAAAACTGCATTGACAAGGACTTATACTACAGCTAAACTTATTGTCCTGTCCAAAACAACATAATTTTAGCACAATCAAAGGTCGATAGGTATCCCTTTCATGTTATCATCTAGCGTGTATACAAATTTATATGTATCTACCAAAGCAGTTACATTGGTAGAACAGAAAGGAGAGCCTACGTTTGATTTTAAGAACATATTCCGAAAAGTTATAGGTCAAGTGGATTAAAAGTATTCAGCAGTGTCATCTCAAGACATCCCCTTAACACAGAACATCAAGTTGATACACAGAAGTCTTTCAAGGTGATTAACAAACAATCAAACTCCAATCTTTTGAGATTTGCCGATACGATAGCGATCAAACGTCTAAAACCAAATTTTTGTGTCCAAAAAATGCAGTAATAAATGTTTCTTTGCCCTGGTAACATTATATCCTTTTTTATAATTACGTCATTCATTGTTTCGACTATTCCTGAAGTTTGATTACATCATTATAGTTTTTCTTCAACTTATAACTGACTGATTTCAATTCATATCTTTCTTAATTAGTATTAAGCTGTTTTCAGTTGCTTCATTACGCAATCATCTGATTGTTAACTCGATGAGTTCTAATCACGACTTCGAGGTTCTAGAACATTCCCTCTCTAACTTTATTTTTCCGAAACAAAATTATTATGATATTAAGTCTATGGGAATCTTCGCTACATCATGATACATATATTCATCTCTAATCACCATCGTATTTACAAGTATGTCAATATCTGTAATAACGTTGATTTTAAATGTTATCTGTTGTAAGCAGCTGACGAAAACCTAACGACATAAAATGAACTCATATTATTCTGCACTAATCTTCGTTCTTGCTCTTTAAAATATTCTGACTTATTTAGTTGTTATTCTATCCCTCCCTTCTCTTTATAATATGATCACTTCATTTGTGAGGTATTTTCGGTCCTCTACTGTACTAGGACTTATATGCCTAAATAACTAGACCAATGAAAATAGGAGGAAGGATAAATGTTAAGAAGATTCGTTCGATGAAGACTCACTTCAGATAAGACGTCAAACAATCGAGGTAGCTGACCAGGGTCTTTAAGTAAATAGTTTGGGTCACGAGCCAGAAAGCGAGAAAGAATTTCGAAAGCCCTCGCCCGTACATATGTTAACTGGAGTAAAAAAACAATATGGTCAACCATGAAATTATCAATTTAAAATTTATGAATAAAAAAAACAGAAACGGAAAAGATACTTACCTCATCGCTCGTACGTTCATAAGCAAAGTTGATAAGACATCGAAGAGCCGCGACAGATGCTGATCCATTTAGAGTCGTGACACTATCGAAAAAAAACAAGTGCTTTTCATACTGATTTGATTCAATTCGAAATAGCATTCCTATTGTGAATAGCATTATTATTATTATATATGTCGGATATACAAACGACGACTATAATGTAACGCATACTTTTGGGAAATATAGATACCAATATTGAAAAATCCTAACCATCTTGCTGAACCCGTTTCTTAGTATCGCATTTGAGCCTCCTCAGTCAGTCGGTCAGTAATAACGTAGAACTTCGTACGTACGTACATCAATTCGAGTTGTCACACCACACTAGCACAGAGATACACTTGTCGATTCAAATCCCATAGTGGTAGAGGTAGTAACAGTATAAGCAGTAACCGGAAAGATTAGGGTTTGAAGATGTTATTTAAAGAGTATAATCCAGTGAAATAAATTTGGGAAGAGAAAAAAAGAGACAAGGAGGAATCAGGAGATTAGAATTTGGGAGAACACAAAGAGTGGATGCACCTGCGCCATTGCAAACGATTTTGAGCCATGTCATTCAGGGTCTCTAGCCATCAGTTGCTATCATCTCGTGGTCCCCAGCCAGGTAGTCTACACCTGTCAATGTGGCTCAGTCCACTTATCAGTGACTTCATGGATTTGTGCATGTTTTGGTCTGGCCACCCCTAGCTTTCTTCCAACCTACTCCTATACCACTGAACATAGCACGTCGAGGCAGTCGGTCGTTGGGCATACGTAACACATGTCCCAGCCACCTCAACTGATGAAGTTTCACTAATTCATCAATTGATTTGCCATCCTTACCTAGTACCCGTTTCCTAACAACTGCGTTACTTACTCGATGGTCCCAGGATATACGAGCAATGTTTCGAAGACACCTATGATCAAATACTAGTGACCTACGAATATCCTCTACTCTTACCGACCATGTTTCACTGCCATAAAGTAGGACGGAATGGACAGCTGCGCAGCAAACACGTCCTTTGGTTGGTAGACGGATATCTCGCCTATGCCATAAATGACGCAAGTTGGCAAAAGCTAGTCGAGCCTTCTGTATCCGTGCTGAGATTTCGTCACACACCAAACCACAAGGGCTGATGAGACTCCCAAGATAAGTGAAGCGGTCGACACGCCCAACTACTTCACTCCCTATCATTAGTTTGAGTGTCGATGTATTTCGAGGGGAGGGGAAATCGCATCCCGAACATGCTTGTATTGTTGCTTATAGTGTTCAGAAGACTGCATTTTGTCAGCGTCTTCACCAAATAAAACTATGTCATCGGCATATTCTAGGTCAAAAAGTGAATCTCCCGGTAGAAGTTCAACCCCTGGAAATTTAGCCGAGAAAAGTGTCATCTCTAAAAGCACGTCAACGACAAACTTAAACAAGAATAGAGAGAGTGGACAGCCCTGACGAACACCACTTGAGGTAATCAATTCTGATGACAGTTCACCATAAGCTCCCACTCTACCAGTTGTGTTCGAGTAGAGAGCCTTTACAAGATTAACGTGCTTCTTTGGTACTCCTTTCAGCGACAAACACTGCCATAAAACCTCACGATCAACAGAGTCGAATGCCGCCTTAAGGTCGAGAAATATTACGATTGTGGGGCGTCTGAATGTGTGTCTGTGTTCTAGAACCTGACGTAGTGTGAATATCTGATCTACACAACCACGTCCAGGTCGAAAACCGGCCTGGTTTTCTCTGATCTGCTCTTCACGAGCTTTAGTTAGGCGTCGAACTATTATTGAAGCGAATATTTTAGACACTATATTAGTCAAACTGATTCCTCTGTGATTGTCACAAGAGGACTTTTGTCCTTTCTTATAGACTGGCACAATCAGTGATTGAGACCAGTCAGATGGGATTACGTCCAGTTCCCAAATTCTACCTAAGACCTCAGTCAATCTCATTGCTAATACTGGACCACCATCTTTAAAAATCTCAGGAGTAAACCTGTCAGATTTCCGATAGCTTTTTCAACCTAATAAAGAGTCGGAGGACCTACATTAACTTGCCATTCAGGTTGACTAGAGATTGTGGGAAACCGAAGTGTGGCTGAAGGCCAGTTGAACTGATCCATAAAGTGTTCTGCCCATCGATCCAGTCTCCTGGATTGAGAATGTATGATATGTCCATCTTTCTCTGAGATTGTTTCGCTAACGGTCGGGTTCCTAATTCCGGTTTCCTTAACGAGTCTGAACAATTGTCTGCTATTACCTATTGCCGCTGCCTTTTCCATCTCTCTTGCTTTCGCTACCCACCACTGTTTACGATCATTGCATAGACTTCTTGTCAGCTTGCGCTTATGCTGATTCCGCTCTTCATTATGTTCAGAGCCAGGTGGAATGAGTTTCCGAGCATCTATCAGTGAGATAGATGCTGCTGAGATCCAGTGTTGCTCCCTAACCTTCTGGTTTACCTTACTAGCAGATATCACTGCTGTTTCCACAGCTTTTCTGATATCATTCCATGCTGCATCGGGGTGGGCATCACATACATGGCTGCCTAACGTTTTTCCTAGTTGTTCCTGAAATATACTCTTAGCTTGACTATCATTAAGTAGGCCCCTAAGAGGTTTCCTTGCAGCGTCTTTCCTACGTCCAGTAAGACGCAAGCAAATACGAGCTCACACACTGGAGCATGAGTCTCCTGGGAGAATCAAATTATGTGGTTCGTAATGCGTTAAAGATTATAATGACTAATATCTCTAAAGAAAAAAGTGCAAGTTTGGAAAATTAAACTTACTGGTTAGGTCTCACAAAATATAACCATAGGCTTAAAAAACGGGAATTCAGGTAGGTTATTTGACGTCTGATTATACTCATAGAAGCTATCGAATGGTCGAGTAAAGCAAAATTAATAATAGATAGGCGGTAACCCATAACTTCACGTTAGTGTGAACTAGCTCAAGTAATATTCCATACCAATACAGTAAACGGAAAGATA